ATGTCTACGGAATTATACCTGGTAACCTAGATCCCCTACGAGCGGCTCGGCGCACCCCCTATAAGGTCGAGCATTCGAATTCGACCTTGGGTGTGTGATTTGATATACCTGAAAATGTTTTGCGCGGTTCAAACTTCACGTTCGGCGGAAGTCGAACACTGTTCGGCTCAAGTTCAAATGCTACATTCGACCAAAAAAAATGTAAACTCAGCCTATTTCCAGAATCAGACACGTCCTAATGTTCTCTTCGCTTCACCATGCCATGCAACAGCCAATCAATGAGTAGAATGACATGCAACTTCGGAAGCCGTCGTACGCGTTCATGGCGACAGCGATACCATCAATGTATGTTTGCATGTTACTGGCGCTATACCATTTGTCGCGGACCGAGCTGAGGCATATTCTTGTACAATGACATGTAAGTTCGCCATCGTCGCATGCAACTTAATGTACCGCGTGCGCGACTTGAGGGGCCTAACATGCGACTGCATGTACCAGCGCCGCGCGGGTCGCGGAGAGGAAATGAAGATTTTATTGCATTGTCCGCGCCTCGATTTTGAAGTGGACGATGTTGACGCCTCAGTGGCGATTCGAGCGCTCTTCAATGTGAGCATTCGTGGGCGCGAAGCCTGCTACTTCTAAAAGGCCGTCACTTTAACGTCGGTTCCCATTTCCAGTAAGGGGCACAGACGAAGCAGTCACGGAAACCCCGAAGCTCTCTGACTGGCATCCTTCTATCTGGCAGCCATTTTCACAACCTAATCGCAGCCTTTTCGACCTTCACTGAAGCATCATGACTAAGGGAGGCGGTGGGGAGGAGGCGGAGGAAAGGGAGGCGGAGGCGGTCACAGCGGAGGCGGTCACGGCGGAGGCGGAGGAAAGAGTGGCGGAGGCGGAAGCCATGGTGGGGGAAGCCACGGCGGGGGGAGTCACGGTGGCGGAAGCCATGGCGGAGGGATCTCTCATGCAACCGCTTCTCACATCCAGAGCTCTGTCGCCCGTATGGGAGGTGGAGGAGTGGCCAAAGGTTCCGGTGCTGCAGCAGCACAGCGAGCTGCTGCTGCCCCGTCCAAGGTGACTGGGAGCGATGCTGCTGCTCTCCAGGGCTTCACCGCGAAGACCAGTGGCGGAGTGGCGAAGGGCTCTCCTGCTGCACAGGTTCAGTCCCTGGCTGCTCATAACCAGGGAAACTAGGTTGTTGCTGTAGAAAATAGTGGCTTTATGATGGTGTGTTAGACACGAAATCTTGTCATTGTAAATACCACGTACCGTATGTTTCCCTGGAGTTTTGCTGGGCCTTGTACAGATGCTACTGAAAGTCAGCATGTTGCCTACAAATTTCATTAGATGGTGCCATAATATAAACGTGATAAGAAGATAAGGAGTGTAAGGAGCCCAACTTGTTACACCTCGTGTCATGCATTCGATTTTGTCGTTCGCACGGGCAACCCTCGTGATTGGGTGGCGTTTCAACCGCATGCGGAACTTGATTGGTCCGAAAATCCATCATGGCGTCGGGGTAACCAGATCACTGTGCTTCAATGGTCGATATTCTCGAATTCGGCAACATTGCCAATTTGCCATGGCGAATTCCCCCAAATCACCACACGCGACCCGATTGACTGCTTCTAGGATGTTCTGATTCGCCGCATTCCCTCCCCTGCATTCCCCCTCGCCTTTTGAAATCCCACCTTTGTTCATCACCACCCAGCACTCTCCTCCTTCCCCCCCCCCCGTTCCCCTTCCCTCACTTTCTTCCCCCGCGTCCTCCTCCCCTTGCCCCTCCTCTTTCCCACTACGCTCCGCAACACATCTTCCCCCGCCTGAATCCTTTTTGCTCTTTGGGCTTGAATTGAAAAGGGGGCCCAAGCACTCTTATTCATTTCAACCACGCAACCACGGCGCTAGTAAGAGCAGCCAGTGAGCATTCTTCTCTGTTGACCCTTTGCGCTCAGTTCCTCCTAGGAGAGTCTCCCGAACTCAGTGCCATGACAGCCATTCTTCGCAGTCCGGCTCCACTCTCCGGCTATCATCTCACTCCGGTCTGCAAGAGACGCGGCGGCGGAGGCGGAGGCAGGAGCAGCGGCGGTAGCGGAATTTCCCAGGAGGCTGCTCTTGAAATGCAGCGTCTCGCTGTGCGCATGGGCGAATCGGGGAAGGGTTCCGCGGCGGCTGCGGCGCAGAGAGCGGCGGATGCGCCGTGGAAGGTGACGACACGAAACGCCGCAACGCTGCAGAGCTTCATGAACACGCATTTCGGCGATATTGAGAAAGGGTCGTTCGTTTCGGAGGTGCAAAGGCAGGCTGTGGAGAACGACAAGTAAGGAGAAGCGCGTTGGACGCACACACTTCCAACTTTTTTTTTTTGAATATTGATTAGTATATACCGGAACACAAGCATACACCATCAAACGGTCGTAACCGTGCGTGAGGCAACAGTAAAATGAATTACTGTGCCAGGTGAGCTGTCTAAGGCGAGTTGCTGCATGCCCTCCTCTTGGACCACAGCGCGGCAAACGCACTTGTCCACGTCCAACCTTTGCCGTCCATCATGATCCTGCTCAGCATCCTCTTCTCCTCTGCGAAATTTTCCTGCAATCGTTTCTTCCGAGCTGCCCCCATTTTGCGCATGTAGATTCTTGCATGTAGCCTAAAAGCTGACTCCGCCCTCCAAAGAACATGCTGTGGCCGAAACTTCTGCCCCCGAAACACTGCTTCACATCTTTCCACCCAGACTTGATGCAGCACCACCGACGTGAGGGTCAGCTCCAGAAAAGCTGACCTGGTAGCCGTTTTCCGAAACAGTAAATCACCCAGCGAAGCTGATGGGCGGTTGGGGTTTAGCATGCGCAGGGCACGTCGGAGAGCCGAGGTCACCACCTGTATCCTGGGGCAGAGGATGAGGCAGTGCTCTAGGGTTTCCTGCTCCCCACAGTGCGGGCAGGTAGGCTTGCTGCTGAGAAAAGCCAATCTCTCCCCCACCTGAAGATTTAGGCCGTGGATCCTTATCAGGACGTCCCTTGGACGGCTAGGAATAGCCAGGGAGTCCCTGGTCATCACCACTCGCTTCCAGTCGATGTGATTCCCCCACCGTGAGACCCACTTCTGCTGCTTGTACGACTGGCTGCACGTCCCCCTCCAGCCCTCCGTCATTTGCTTCAAGGAGATTACCCGCTCCCCTTCCAGAATTGGCATCCGTAGGGAAGCTCCCGCTGACTGCAGAGGCACCGTTGGAAAACCGAGCAGTCTGTGCCAGTGAGACGGAAGCGCTAACAACGCCCTCAACGCCAGCTTTACAGGCCCGGTACCACCAAGTTCCCGTTTTAGAACTTCCATGGACTTGACTAGCGCCACGCCGTTCTCCTCTCCGTCGAGCAGATCCCCCACTCTAAGTTCTATCAGACCCTGAGCATCTTTCTGCCCCCCCAGCGGATTAGTGGTGTGTCAGAATATTATGCTCTAGCCTGTAGTGGGGTGCTCTATAGCGAGTACAACCCTTCTAGGGTTTGCTATTTGTATCCCCATTCTTGCTAGTGCAACCCCTCCTTTGCTTGTTTCTCTCTTGCCTAGCTAGGGTTTACCTAGCTATGGCTCATGATTCTAGCTCCTATTTTGACATGCTATCAGAGCGGTTACGCTCCTGGCCTGTGGGCCCGCCTGCTTCCGCTGCCTTCCTGTGTGTCGCGCGTCCCGTGGCGCGCGATGTTCGTTTTTTCTTCCCGCCGCGCGCTCGGGGCGCGCGGCGGTTTTCTGCCCGCCGTGCGCCCCGAGGCGCGCGGCGGTTTCCCACCGTCGAAGCGCCCCCCGTCGCCCGTCGAAGCGCTCCCCCCCGTCGCCCGTCGAAGCGCCCCCGTCGCCCGTCGGAGCGCCCCCCGTCGCCCGTCGAAACGCCCCCGTCGCCCGTCGAAGCGCCCCTGGGACCCGCGCGCGGCCCGTACGGGCTGCGCCAGGCCCGCGCGCTGCTCGTACGGGCTGCGCCAGGCCCGCGCGCGGCCCGTACAGCCCGCGCGCGGCCCGTACGGCCTGCGCCAGGCCCGCGCGCGGCCCGTACGGGCTGCGCCAGGCCCGCGCGCGGCCCGGGCAGCCCGCGCGCGCCTCGTCCGGCCTGCGGCAGGCCCGTGCGCGCGCCTCGTCCGTCCCCCGAGCTTCTGCCGGCGCCCCACCCCCGCTACTGCCCGCGTTCCTGTGTTAGGGTTTGGGGGTGGAGGGTATGGGGGTGCCGTGAGTGTGAGCCGTCCCCTGCTCCTCCTCCTCCTCCTCCGTCTCCCACTGCTGCAGCTGCCGCTGAGGGGGGTGGGTGTGTGGGGAGCCGAAGGAGTGGTGCTAGGGGGGTGACGTGGGAGTGGAGTTAGGGGTTGCAGCAGGGGGTGTGTGTTGGGGGGTGTGGGACAGTTGGAGGAGGTTGGGTGGAGGCAGCCGTCGTGTCGTCTGCAGCGCCTGTATTCCGGGGTTCTGATAGCCACCGGTAGCTCAGAGAGCCGGTTGCACCTGTCGCCCGTGGGTCCGTTGCTCCTGTCGCTGCTGATCAGACGCAGAGCCTGTTACTCCTGTATTCCGGGGCCCTTGCTCCCGGTAGCCACTAGAGCTGCACCAGAGCCGTCTGTTGCCCGTGTGTCTGCAGCTTCAGTCGTCGCCTCCACTCCTCTCTCCCCTCGCCAGCCCTCCTCCTCCTCACTTGCCCTCTGTGACTACCTCTAGCTTTGCTCATAATTGTGAACTTTAAACTATTGCTTCTTGAACTTGTGCTCAGAATGTGTGGTGACATTGTGATCCACCCTGAGCTTGTACTGCTTTGCTTGCTCTGCTGATTACACCCCACTTTGGCTATGGGGGTGTGTCAAAATATTATGCTCTAGCCTGTAGTGGGGTGCTCTATAGCGAGTACAACCCTTCTAGGGTTTGCTATTTGTATCCCCATTCTTGCTAGTGCAACCCCTCCTTTGCTTGTTTCTCTCTTGCCTAGCTAGGGTTTACCTAGCTATGGCTCATGATTCTAGCTCCTATTTTGACATGGTGCCGTTGAGAAGTATGTCAGCATTAAAAACCAATCTCTCCCGAAGCACCTCCTCCTTGCTCCCCACCAGGTTCTTGACAGAGAAAGGGGAGCGCATGAAACTCTCCACCGTCTGTTTCCACCGAGCGCTGCCGTTCTCCCAGTGCTTCAGCAGTTTTGTGTGCGAAGTGAACGTGTCCAGCCCCAACGGAAGCTTCGCGGCCCGTTCCATGAGATTTTTCTCCGTTATGAAAAGCCCCACCCTCCTTGCCGCCAAGCAGGTGATGAGGATTTCCGGGTCCCTGACGCCAATGCCGCCGTCCAGCCTCGGGGTAAATAACAACTCTCTGCTCCACAGTGCGAAGCCCTTTGCCGTCGCCACTCTGTTACCCAAGGTAAAGCTGTGTATTAGCCGCATGATTTCCAGCCAGATGTCCGCAGGCGGCGGAAAGATCTGCGCCTGAAAAGCGAGAATCGGCGTGATGTAAAAATTGACCACCGTTGCTCTCGCTGTGATTGTCAGGTATTTCAGCTGCCACTTGGTGAGCTTCTCCGAGATACGGCTCCACGCCTTCTCCCAAGTCGGCCTGCCACTTCCAGACGGCGTCACCCAAATACCTAGCAGACGCTCTGCTTCATCCGCGCCAGCCCACTTAAAGCTACCTCCCCCAGTTGCGCCGATGTTAGCACCCAATGGTAAGACCACCGACTTCTCCTTGTTCGTCGCCAACCCCGAAACCCTCTCGAAGCGATCTAGGATTTCCTCTGCCTGACTGATTTGTGCTTCCCCTTGCAGGACCAGCGTCGTATCGTCCGCATAACCAAGATACCCCAGCCGGTGCCCATCCTTCTCCAGACCGAGCTCCCTTCGTTCCACCTCCAGAGCCAGCGGCTCCACAGCGCACAGAAAGAGGTAAGGTGCCAGGGGACAGCCTTGTCTCACCCCGGACACCACGTCCACACCTTCGCCGAGCCAACCATTGATTAACAGCTTCGTTGTTGTACCCTCATGCAGGCCTTTAACCCATCCAACAAACCGCTCCGGGAAACCCATGGACCCCAGCACCTGGAACAGAAAGTCCCTAGAGACCGAGTCGAAGGCCTTCTGGAAATCCACCAGAAGCATGTAGCAGTCGTCCTTATCATTCTTCGCACCCTCGATTATATCTGCCACCAAGGCGACCGCATCTGACAGACGCCTACCAGGGATGAAGCCATACTGCTCCGGTGAGATAACCATATGCAAAACCGACTTCATCCGGTCCGCGACAACCCGAGCAAGCACCTTGTACGTGAAGTTCAGCAGCGTGATCGGCCGATAATTGTTTAAACTCTCCTTGTCACCTTTCTTGGGCAGAAAAATCGTCACCGCCTCCTTGATCTCAGCCGGCAACACAGTTGAACCCTCAAAATCCTTTGCCATAGCCATGAAGCTTTCCCCCAACAGGTCCCAATGCGCCTCAAACAGCTCCTTGGGTAAACCATCGCTGCCTGGTGACTTGTTCCGCGCCATTGCTGCAAAAGCATTCTTAACCTCCTGTTCTGACCATTCTCTTGTAAGTGTCTCAGCCACCCACCCATCCAGGCGGTGAGAAGGATTGAAACTCCAACCATCTCGGTCAGTGCGGCGATCCTTCCCAAAAATGTTCTTAAAGAAGCCAGAAGCCGCAGCAAGAATCTCCTTCGAACCAGTGATCGACGCCGACCCGACTTTCAGCTCCGATATCTGGGTGCGTGCCTTCCGCGCCGTGACCTCCGCTGAAAGATGTTTTGACGCAATCTCCCCCGTCAATTCCGCCGTCGATCCCGCCTGCAGGTGAAGTCTTTCTTTCCGCGCTGACTGGTACATCTTTAGCTGCACTTCCTTAGCCCTCAGCAACTCCTTGGTTCTTGAGCAGAGCGGGTTCCGCATCATCTCCTGCGTCAGAGCCACAACCGTGCTGGTCAGGTGCGTTACCGTCGCGCGAACCCTTTTATTCTCCTCCTTCGCATACGCCCTGAGGCCAGCACTCAACCTTGCGACCAGCAGCTCGAAACTGCTACCATCATTGACCGGAGCCCGCCGAACAGTCGCTTCAATGATCTTTCTCACCCCCGGCTTGTTCACCATTGAAGCATGTAATCTCCATAGACCCGGTCCCGTACAGGCCTTCGCATCCAACCTGAAAGCAACCACCACCGCGCAACTGTGATCGGCCACCGGCTCATCTGGTTTGACATGAGAAGCAACTGAAAGGTGAGGCAGTAGAGATTGCGAGACGAGAGCCCGGTCTATCCTAGTGCTAACCCTTTTGGATTTAGAATAGAAGGTGTATTCCCGGCAACCAGGATGAAGTATTCGGAAGGCGTCGGATAGCTGGAAGGACTTGCAGCGCTGGAACAGCTTTTCGTTCTCGTTTGACACCCCCTTGCCTGATGACTTGTCTAGCTTGGGATTTTCTATGTGATTGAAGTCGCCGATGATCAGCAGATGTTCTGAGGCTGGGATCTGGTCTATAAGAGGTCCGAGCGAGTCTCTAAGGAAGGCGGCTCTAGGCTGAGGGCTCGAGGGAAAATAAGCAGCGACAAGGGTAAGATCTGGTCCATGGCCTTTTAACGTGGTTTTGATTATTCTGCCTGACGGATGACATAACGTGTCATGAAACGAGACGGCTGTGTTACGGCTAACGACGGCAACCCCGCCAGCTCTGGAGCGGGGAGCCACAGCTAAAATGGAGTAAGTGGAGAGACTCTTCCAGTAAGAATGCTCCGCGCCTATTCTAGTGTCTACCAGTACTGCAATGTCTCCTGACTGACTAAACCAGCTGTTAACTCGACTCTGTTTGGCTCGATCTCCTAATCCGTTAACGTTGAGGCTCGAAACAGTGAGGTGGTTCTTATTAATCATGATGAAACTGCCTTGCAGCCCTAATCATCCACAGGCTGATAGAGAAGACGGTACAACCAACACTGACTCCTAAGCACCAACAAGCCACCGCGTCCAGGTAACGCTCAAGGCCTTTCACAGACCGTACTCCTTCCGTATGACATCGAGGTTCAGCTTGTCGAGCGACTGCTTCGTGGCCGAGCCTGGCTTTGCCAGTTCCAGCAGGTGAGCAGGTGCAGAGATGTGAGCAGCAGTCGCCATAAGACTCTTCCCTTTTGCTTTCCCGCAACCCACTTGTGTGCAGATCCAGTCCTCCCTACTGCTGCCGGTAGAAACAAGAGCAATGGCAGGATCTCGAAGAATCGGGAGGAAGAGCGATGACGCTTTCAGCGACGCAGCTGCGATGAATCGAAGAATGGTTAGTAACAAGAGAAGGTGAGCAAACCGGAAGGCCAGGATAAACGGAGCAGCTGCCTTTACCGTTAAGCCTGTGCACACTGCCAAGAGTAAGCTTCCATTTACTAACATTATTCTGTCGCTCAGTGACAAAAGCATCATGAAACTTATCATAGTGCTTGCCGCCGCAGAGCGAACAGGATAAGGTCGGGTAATGGACAAGCAGCTTCTTCGCCCTGTCAGCAGGATCAGCGATCACATGAATCCAGCGACGATTCTGGTTCTCAGGGTGAGCATAAACCAAACCCTTCACAACGTCCTCGTCAGCTCCAGTGACGGGGTGAAGCACACGATGCAGGCAGGTGCAGCGCAGAAACGCCGAACGCTTGGTGCTGGTGAGCGGGTAAGACGCCAGGCGGTCATGAATGAGAACCAGCTCCACACACTTCCAACTGAATGCTGGACAGAGGCCTCGGTATTGCGTGGTTGGCGGAGTTCAGGAGCCTCTTGGCTTCACGCACATGAGCTGGCTTCACCTGATTGGCCAGGGCGCACATGGGAGATGAGAGTGGATTCAGGCAACATGGGAAAGAACGGGATAGGAGGAGGGATTGATGGATGGCGGTACTATGGGAAACCACCTGTCATGCAACTACCCACCCCAACAAACCACTTATCCCATCCCCACCGGCTCACCCACATGTGAGTCCAGGTGCAGGCGAGCCAGCGCCCCTGACAGCCTCACGAGCTCCTCACAACACAATTGAATTCACCACTTATGCATCAATCACTCGCCCATCCCCCCCGGTTCACCTATCCCCACCCATCCCCACCGCTTCACCCACCTGCGAGTCCAGGTGCAGGCGAGCCAGCGCCTCTGACAGCCTCACGAGGGCCTCCAGCTGTCGCACCGTGATTCGGTACGACGACTGCGACCCCGGTGCGGCATCTCCTCGCCTCAGAGACACGTAGGCCTCTACCAGCCGGGTCTTTGCTTCCTCTGTGATCTGATGGAAGGGGCGCGTGGAGGGCAGACATTGGGAGACAAAGAAGCAGGAGTGCGTGATTTGGTATGATGGCTGCGACCCCAGAGAGGCATCCCCTCGCCTCAGTGACACGTATGCCTCTACCAGCCGCGTCTTAGCCTCCTCTGTGATCTGATGGGGGGGTTTATGGATGGAGGCAGACACCGGGGGACGGGAAGCAGAGGGTGATTCGGTATGACGACTGCAACCCCGGGGTGGCGTCTCCTGTCTGAGCGACACGTAGGCCTCTACCAGCCGCGCCTTAGCCTCCTCTGTGATCTGATTGGAGGGTGAGGTGCATGGATGGAGGTGAGAAACAGGAAAAAGCAGGAGAGTGTGGAAGAACCTAAGAAGTGCGTGCTGCATGCGTGCTGTGATCTTTTTCAGGGACAGACACACTCACCTCTGGTCGAATGGAGCGACTTTTGAGACATCTCAAAAGAACCTAAGACGTGTGCATGCTGCATGCGCGCTGTGATCATTTTGAGGGACAGACACACTCACCTCTGGGCGGATGGAGCGTGCGAATTTGATGTATTTCTGCAGCTGTAGCGTGGAGAACTCCGGCTGTAGCGCCCGGTCACGGCTCTGATGCACCGTCAGGATGTGGCGGGCGACCGAGTAGTCATGCACGGGGTCTGGCGTATCTAGCATGACATGCACGAGGTCGAAACGGGAGAGGATGGCTGGTGGCAGGGCCACGTTGTACTGATGGGGGGGAGGGAGAGGTGTGGGGTGGGGGGGGAGAAGTCGTGAAGGGCATGATGCACCGTCAGGATGTGGCCGAACGCCAGGATGTGGCGTCACCGTCAGGATGTGGCCGTCAGGATGTGGCCGTCGAAGGTGACTTCGCAGAACGCGGCGACTCTGCAGAGTTCGGCCACATCCTGAAGGTGACTTCGCAGAACGCGGCGACTCTGCAGAGTTCGGCCACATCCTGACGGTGACTTCGCAGAACGCGGCGACTCTGCAGAGTTTCACGGCGACTACTTTCGGCGGCGTGGAGAAAGGGTCGTTCGCTTCTGAGGCTCAGAGCCAGGCTGCGGCGAACGGCAAGTAGAACGAACATCGAGTGGGCCGAACAGCGTCTGGAAGCTGCGCAATTCCATCAGTATGTTTGACATAGCCCACTTTCCCTGCGTGGCTGGTGGTGTAGATATCGTGTACAGTGAGTGAATATTTTGTAATTACGGTAATATTGTGATGTATGGGCAAGTGCATGTAACGATTCTGTTATGCGCACCGTTTGAATGGATTGGGAACATGTTTGACGTCAATTTGTGAACAACAAATCCACCACTGAATGCTCACTGACTGCAGATCTACATATGCAAGTTTTCCATGCTGTCGCGTTGGGAAGAGAACTACGGGAACGCGAACACCCTCACCGAACCGCGTGTGAAACGAACGGCATGCAGGAAATTTCCGCATGCCCCACAAGATGTCGGCGGTTAGTACTTAGAACTCGTCGCGCGGGAAAACCGTAACTCTGATCCAACTTACTCCACGCCAAGAACACGGCTTGTTCACGCGATAGCACGAAGGCATGCCGCACAATAGAGTGCATGTACGATGCTTAGTATCACTACTCGTTGCATATTAGTCTCTTCCGTGTGCGAGGATAGTATCCGTTGAGCGAGTCGCCTTTCAATCGGCACCTGACATTTTCTTGGCTTGTCGCTGCGCGTCACCGCCACTCGAGTGGCTTTTTTTCCTGCAGGAAATTCGTTTCGCATCGCGATTCACGACACCTTATTAAAGACTCCCATTCATTTCGTTCCCTCACAGGCCTGCTTCCATTTCGTCTGGTGCTCTCAGAACATCTTCTTTTGAGCTGCTACTCAAATCCTTTTTCTCTCAACCTCCCGAAATGGCAACCCTCATTTCGACCGCCCGACCATCAAGAACCGCATTCGGACGCTTTGTCAGAATCGCAGCATATCATGCCAGCGTTAACATTGGGATGGCCAAAGGAGGGGGCGGCGCCGCCGCTGGTAAAGGCGCCCCGATTTCAGGCGAGACAGCCTCTCAGATCCAGAGTGCTACCGCGAAGATGGGCGACGGAACGGTGGCAAAGGGTTCCGCGGCAGCTGCGGCGCAGAGAGCGGCGGCTGCGCCGTCTAAGGTGACGGGCGGGGACGCTGCGGCTCTGCAGAGCTTTACCGCGAAGACGAGCGGAGGCGTGGAGAAGGGATCGCCTGCGTCGCAGGTTCAGAGCACCGCAGCGAGCAACGAGGCGGGGCAGGGGGAATAGGGGAAGAGAGGGCAAAATAGGAAAGCAGATTCAAGGAGGACATTGTACGCGTTTGTCCCAGGAAAGCTTTCCAGCGGACCATGTGATAAAGTGTACATAGCTGTTCTGTAATTCTGCTAACTAGTAACAACAAATGTTCAAAAGTATTCCTAAATCGTACCAATACCACTATTGTGTTTCGATTGTTCGATCATACCAATACCACTATTGTAGTTATATTGTTGAGGTCAGCTACACTCCCAAATTGATGATGATTTGGAGATCCAACTTTCTATAATGATTAGTCATCGTCATAGGCGTATTAAGAATTATTAGTAGATGCCGCAAGTACGCTTATTCTTGGACATAGTTCGGGTTGACAGCTAGCACCCGCTCCTCCAGAGCCGTGGGCAGAGGCTTGTCAAAAGTCGGAACTGGTTCGCCTGCTGCTTCAGCAGCAGCAATTGCATCCTCCCGCTCCTTCCTGGCAGCTTCCACAGCTGTGGTTCCATCGTCTAAAATCAACAGCACTCCCTCGCGGCGAATCAAATGCTGCAAAATAGCAGTGAAGGAAACAGCATCCACAGAAAAAGCCCAGAAAAAAAATGTTCCACACACAAATGCCACAGAAAAAGGAGCTCAGACAATATAATCGCATAAACAGAACCCCAATACAGGCAAACAGCATCACCATCCAGCACTATATGGTGCAACAAATACCTCTGAATGATGGAACAAAGGGGCATGTCTGACCTGGATGATGGATCGAAGCACTCTGAATTCCTGCAGCAGGTTGCCAACAGAGTCCACCGTCCCTGCTTGGCTCTGCTGCTCCATATACCATCGCATCACTTCCCCCTGCTTCGCCCCCCCGCCTCCCAAACCTCCATGCACGCCCCCCACCCGCCTCCTCTTCCTCGTCCCCCCGTCCTCCTCCCCTCCTTCTCCCCCTCCTTCCCTCCCCCTCTCCCCCTCCTCCCCACCCTCGCCTGTACCGGTCGCTTCTGACCCTGCGAGGGAAGCTTCTTCAGAAGCTTCCTCTGCCTCTTTTTGTCTTATGTAGGTCACCAGCAGCGCAGTCACTCGCTGTAGCTTATCGTATGGCACGCGCAGAGGGGCGGCAGGTTTTGTCTTCTTCTGGCCCGCTTCTTTGTCTTCACCCCCGTTCGCTGCATCTCCTTCCTTTGCCTTGTCCTCTGCTGCTGCCGCTTCTTGTTTCTTCTCCTTGCCTTTCCTTGTTGCATCACCTCCTGATTGTGTTTGCTGATCCGATGCCTCTTTTTCTCCTCCCTCAGTTCCCGTAGTCCCATTCGCCCCGCCATCCGTCTCCATGTCTTCCCTCCCTCCTGACGCCTCTGCTCTCCCTCCCAACCCGCCCCCACCACCACCACGATCAGAACCACCACTGCCTCCGCCTCCCCCTTCCCCTCCGCCTCCCCCTCCCCCTCCCCCTCCGCCTCCCCCATCGCCCCCATCCCCCCCCCCCATCATAAACGGCATGTCCTCCATCCCCTCCTCCCCCTCCCCACTCGCCTCCTCATCCTCCAGGTCCACGTCATGGCTGTCAATGCTGACGTGGCAGTCAACATGGGTCAACGGGAGTCAAGGAGGGGGCAATGGAAGTAAAAACGGGTCAACAGGAGTCAATAGCAGGGGAACGTGCTCCAGAAGGGGAAGGTGAGGGTTACAGGATGGTAACATAGAAGTATGGAGCATCGACAAACCAGGATTACACAGGAGAACGCAGCATGGATGGCACATACATCACAGCTAGTCTACATACACACACACACATACCTGATGTATGTAGCCTGATGATTTCAGCTGTGTTGTACCACACACACACACACACACATACCTGATGTATGTATCCTGATGATTTCAGCTATGTTGTACCACACACACACACACACACACACACACCTGATGATGGAGGTGCTTAGGAGCCTCTTGGCTTCACGCACATGAGCTGGCTTCACCTGATTGGCCAGGGCGCACATGGGAGATGAGAGTGGATTCAGGCAACATGGGAAAGAACGGGATAGGAGGAGGGATTGATGGATGGCGGTACTATGGGAAACCACCTGTCATGCAACTACCCACCCCAACAAACCACTTATCCCATCCCCACCGGCTCACCCACATGTGAGTCCAGGTGCAGGCGAGCCAGCGCCCCTGACAGCCTCACGAGCTCCTCACAACACAATTGAATTCACCACTTATGCATCAATCACTCGCCCATCCCCCCCGGTTCACCTATCCCCACCCATCCCCACCGCTTCACCCACCTGCGAGTCCAGGTGCAGGCGAGCCAGCGCCTCGGACAGCCTCACGAGGGCCTCCAGCTGTCGCACCGTGATTCGGTACGACGACTGCGACCCCGGTGCGGCATCTCCTCGCCTCAGAGACACGTAGGCCTCTACCAGCCGGGTCTTTGCTTCCTCTGTGATCTGATGGAAGGGGCGCGTGGAGGGCAGACATTGGGAGACAAAGAAGCAGGAGTGCGTGATTTGGTATGATGGCTGCGACCCCAGAGAGGCATCCCCTCGCCTCAGTGACACGTATGCCTCTACCAGCCGCGTCTTAGCCTCCTCTGTGATCTGATGGGGGGGTTTATGGATGGAGGCAGACATCGGGGGACGGGAAGCAGAGGGTGATTCGGTATGACGACTGCAACCCCGGGGTGGCGTCTCCTGTCTGAGCGACACGTAGGCCTCTACCAGCCGCGCCTTAGCCTCCTCTGTGATCTGATTGGGGGGTGAGGTGCATGGATGGAGGTGAGAAACAGGAAAAAGCAGGAGAGTGTGGAAGAACCTAAGAAGTGCATGCTGCATGCGTGCTGTGATCTTTTTCATGGACAGACACACTCACCTCTGGTCGAATGGAGCGACTTTTGAGACATCTCAAAAGAACCTAAGACGTGTGCATGCTGCATGCGCGCTGTGATCATTTTGAGGGACAGACACACTCACCTCTGGGCGGATGGAGCGCGCGAATTTGATGTATTTCTGCAGCTGTAGCGTGGAGAACTCCGGCTGTAGCGCCCGGTCACGGCTCTGATGCACCGTCAGGATGTGGCGGGCGACCGAGTAGTCATGCACGGGGTCTGGCGTATCTAGCATGACATGCACGAGGTCGAAACGGGAGAGGATGGCTGGTGGCAGGGCCACGTTGTACTGATGGGGGGGAGGGAGAGGTGTGGGGTGGGGGGGGAGAAGTCGTGAAGGGCATGATGCACCGTCAGGATGTGGCGGGCGACCGAGTAGTCGTGCACGGGGTCTGGAGTATCCAGCATCACGTGCACCAGGTCGAAGCGGGAGAGAATGGCTGGTGGCAGGGCCACGTTGTACTGGTGGGGAGGAGTGGGCAAGGAGGGCAAGAGCAGAGAGGGCATGGTGAGGATGTGGCGAGCGACTGAGTAGTCGTGGACCTGGTCTGGTGTGTCCAGCATGACGTGGACGAGATCAAAACGAGAGAGGATGGCTGGTGGCAGGGCCACATTGTACTGGGATGGGGGAAAGAAGGCAAGGGAATGGGGCATGGTGAGGATGTGGCGAGCGACCGAGTAGTCGTGCACGGGGGTCTGGTCTGGTGTATCCAGCATGACATGGACCAGGTCGAAGCAGGAGAGAATGGCTGGTGGCAGGGCGACGTTATACTGGCAGGGTAAGAGCATGCGGGTAGGGGGGAAGAGAGAGGCAATGGAGCAACGTCAGGATGTGGCAATGGAGCCATTGAGTAGTCGTGGACCGGATCAGGTGTGTCCAGCATCACGTGGCAATGGAGTCATTGAGTAACGTCCTCCACTGAGTAAGTTCCAAGGCGCAAGGGCATGGCGCACCGGGAGGATGTGTCGTGTGACTGAGTAACGTCCTCCAGCGGTTGTGGTAATGCTTATGGTAATGGTAATGGTAATGGTAATAGTAATGGTAATGGTAATGGTAATGGTAATGGTAATTGTAATGGTAATGGTAACGGTAATGGTAACGGTAATGCTGACGATAATGGTAATGGTAATGATAAATGCTAACGACAATAGTAATGGTAATGATAATGGTAGTGGCAATGGTAATGGTAAGGGTAATGCTAACGATAATGGAAATGGTAATGATAGTCGTAATGGTAGTGGTAATAGTAATGGTAATGTTATACTAACGAATGCAAACGATAATCGTAATGGTCATGGTATGGTAATGCTAACGATAATGGTAACGGTAATGGTAACGGTAACGGTAATGGTAATCGTAATCGTAATCGTAATGATAGTGGTAATGGTAATGGTAATGGTAATGCTAACGATAATGGTAATGGTAAATGCTAACGATAATAATATGGTAATGGTAATGGTAATGGTAATGGTAATAGTAATGGTAGTGGTAATGGTAATGATAGTGATAATGGTAATGGCAGTGGTCATGGAAATATTAGTGGTGATGGTAATGGTAATAAATAGTAATGGTTATAGTAATGGTATTAGTAGTGGTAATGAGCTGGACCAGGACGAAGCGGGACAGGATGGCTGGTGGCAGGATGAGCTTGGGTTTGGAGCGGTCGTAACGTCCTCCAGTGGGGTTGGCAGCAGCGAGATGGACGTGCGTGCATTGAGAGTGGCCTGACTGTAGACATCTTATGAAGAATAGTGGGCTTACTATAAGGGGCTTACTCTGAGGGGTTTAGAGCGATCGTATCGTCCTCCAGTGGGGTTGGCAGCAGCGAGTATGGGCGTGCGTGCGTTGAGAGAGGCCTGACTTTAGACATCTAATGAAGACAAGTGGGCATACTTTGAGGGGCTTACTCTGAGGGGCTTGGAGCGGTCATATCGTCCTCCAGTGGGGTTGGCAGCAGCGAGAATGGACGTTCGTGCGTTGAGCGTGGCCTGAATGCCCGCCTTGGTGATTGAGATGGTCTGCTGCTCCATAGCCTCGTGAATTGCCACCTGTTGGGGTTGGTGTGAGGGAGAAAAGACATGCACACGCTGAGAAGGAAGACTGTGTGCGTGCATTGAGTGTGGCTTAAATGCCTGCCTTGGTGATGGAGATGGTCTGCTGCTCCATCGCCTCGTGAATAGCCACCTCTTTGCGTGTGTGGAGACGTGAGAGAGAAGGGAAAGGAAGAATGTGAGAGGGTTGGATTGATTGTTGCTTGACAGTGCGTGCATTGATTGTGGCCTGAATGCCCGCCTTGGTGATCGAGATGGTCTGCTGCTCCATCGCCTCGTGAATAGCCACCTGTTAGGTGTGAAAGAGAGAGTTATAGGAAAGAACGAATGAGAGAGATAGAGAGGGGAGGAATGAGTGTGTTGCTTGACCGTGAGTGCATTGAGCGTGGCCTGAATGCCTGCCTTGGTGATGGAGATGGTCTGCTGCTCCATGGCCTTGTGGATAGCCACCTGCATCGGTGGGTGTTGGAGCAAGACACCATTGCATGCGATAAGAGAGGCGGAATGCGTGTTAAGATTGCCAAGGCGGACACACGAGTGCATTTAGGATTGTTCTTTCGCTCGCCTGCTCTTTTACCTCACCTGGTCTTTGATATCCAATCCTGTCAAACTCGTCAATGCAGCAGATACCATTATCCGCCAGCATGATTCAAATAACCCCTAATCACTCACCTCGTCTTCAACACTCCTGTTCCTTCACTCACCTGGTCCTTAATATCCATCTCGTCAAACTCATCAATGCAGCAGATGCCATTATCCGCCGGCATCAGATGGTGGTGAGAGGATGCAATGGCAAGACCATAACGCATTCCTCTCACACTGCAATTCCTCTCACCTGGTCTTTGATATCCATCTTGTCAAACTCATCAATGCAGCAGATGCCATTATCCGCCAGCATCAGCGCGCCCGCCTCGATGCAGAACTCCCCCGTCTCTGGCTCCTTCACCACACTTGCTGTCAACCCCGCTGCACTGCTGGACTTGCCAGATGTGTAGACGGCTCTAGGGAGGAACCCAGCGACATACCTGGTGGAGTAGGATGGACGAGAGGAAGGAATAGAGGGAGGAAGAGAGGGAGAAAAGATGTCACACCCGCCTTAATGCAGAACTCCCCCGTCTCTGGCTCCTTCACCACACTCGCTGTCAGCCCCGCCGCACTGCTGGACTTGCCAGAGGTGTACACTGCACGGGGAAGGAAGCCAGCTACGTACCTGGTGGAGTAGGGAGGGCGTCAAGGAGGAAAGACAGAGGGGAAGTCAAGGAGGAAAGACAGAGAGGGGGCAGAGGGGACTGTGAGCATTGCAATGCACAACTCCCCCGTCTCTGGCTCCTTCACCACACTCACAGCCAGCCCCGCTGCGCTACTGGACTTGCCAGACGTGTACACAACTCTGGGAAGGTACCCAGCCAAGTACCTGGCTTGGGGGATGAGTTGGAGGGGAGGATGGGGGGGGGGGGGGGGGGGGGGGGGGGGTAGGGGGAGGGGAAGGGGGTAAAAGAGAGGCACACAGTGAGACGTGGCGCTACTAGACTAGCCAGACGTGTACACTGCTCTGGGAAGGAACCTGGCTACGTTAACGGTATGTTAGACGTACACACGCACTCACTTGAGAAACTGCGACTTGGCACAGGAGGGGTCCCCAACCACACACACGTTGATGTCTCCTCTCAGGTTGATCCCCTCGTGGGTCTTCTTGTGCACGCCGCCAAACAGCATCAGCAGGATGGCTCGCTTGATGTCTGCATGCCCGTACACCGACGGTGCCACACTAGCCACAAGCCTCTCATACAAGTTCCCGCCTGCCCTCATGCGCGCCATTTCCTCTCGTTCCTCGGGCTGCACGAATAGGGGGATAAGTCACACAGGGTGGGGGAACGGGGAAAGGGAACTTCATAGTTGACTCAGAGGTGCCACGCTCGCCACCAGGCGCTCGTACAAGTTCCCGCCTGCCCTCATGCGAGCCATTTCCTCTCGTTCCTCGGGCTGCAAGGGGGGAAGGGGGAGAGGGCAACATGGGAGTGTCTGCATGCCCATACACCGACGACGCCACACTCGCCACCAGGCGCTCGTAGAGGTTCCCACCTGCTCTCATGCGAGCCATTTCCTCTCGTTCCTCCGGCTGCGGAACGTTGGGATAGATCATAAAGAGGGTGAGGGAAGAAGGGGATGGGACTCTTAGTCGACTCAAAAGTTTCATGCTCGCCGCCGGCCGCTCATATGGTTTGCAACCCTCATAAGAGCCATTTCTTCGCACTCCTCAGGCTGTGGGAGGGGAGATAGGGAGGGTACGGGGTTGGGAACGAATGGCACCTGATATTCACCAGCTGCTTCTCCTGGTCTCCTGACTGCCCAGTTAACGCCAGAAACGCTGCACCAACCTACTGTATTGCAACACACCGCAAAGAACTGCACCACACTGGACCACGCCGCACTGAAGTGCACTCCAACATACCGTGAACGAAGCGACAGCACTGCCCTCCTCGTCTTCCGCCCGGATATTCACCAGCTGCTTCTCCTGATCCCCCGACTGCACAGAACACGCCAAAAACGCCAACCGGTACGACAAATCCCGCACCCCCAGCGCCTTCAACCCCCTCACCCCCTCACTCCCCCCTCCCCCCGCTCCCCCACCCCCTCCCCCAAGCAACTCCCCTCCTCCTCCACCCTCCCCTCCTCTCCCATCCCCCCCCTGATTCGCCCGCATGGCCTCCTGCCTCTCCCCAGGACGGGTTAACGCAGCCACATCTGGGACCACCACCAGCGTTCCAGAGAATATACACTTATCGCCGGCTCGTGCCTGCTCCACCAACTCATGCCTCAAGATCACGTCTAGAGTGCGGGGGAGCGACCCAGGAGGGACTTCATCTGCGTTCTCCTGCACTCGCACCCTCTGCCAGTCTACAAACTGGCATTCCGTTCGTTCTAGCGCCCATTTTTCCCTGTTAGAGCACGCTGCGTTACTGCATATGATGGGCTGCGTGTACTTGAACTGCTGCTCGACGTTCCGCTGCACCGCGCCGCACTCCAAGCATCGGAACGTGCCGTACAGCAGCTCCGGCCGGACCTCGGAGGTTCGGACAACCACACCACTCACTGCAGACAGCTGCCCTAGCACCTCTACCTTCATGTCTCTCAGCCTGAAAGGGGAGGAGTTGGGGTAGGAGGAGGGGAGGGGGCAAGAGGAAAGGGGGATAGGATGAAAACAGCAGAGGAAGGTAATGGAGGATGACCAAACCGCTCACTGCAGACAGCTGCCCTAGCACCTCTACCTTCATGTCTCTCAGCCTGAACAAGAGGGAGTTAGGTTAGGAGGAAGGGAGGAGGGGAGAGGAAATGGGGATGGGGTGATAAGAGCTGAGATTAAGAACAAAGGAGAGCCACACTGCTCACTGCGGACAGCTGCCCTAGCACCTCTACCTGGAAGATAAGAGGAAAATGATGGGAGAAGGGGAAGATTGAGAGGAAAGTGAGCAGGGGAGAGGAAAGGAAAGGGGGATCGGATGTCAGCATACCCCTCACCTCCACATGTGGATGCTTACTTGTGGATGACAGGGAGGTTGTAGAAGGCGAGATAGAACTCCTTGGGCTTGCCCTCATCCTGCACAAACACCTGAACAAACACCTGGGGTGACTTGACTCTGAATGCTTACTTGTGGATGACGGGGAGGTTGTAGAAGGCGATGTAGAACTCCTTGGGCTTGCCCTCGTCCATCACGTACTTGGGCTCGTGCACCTGAAAAAACACCTGAGAAAACACCTGAGCAAACACCTGAGGCGACTCTGCATTCCTTACTTGTGGATGACGGGGAGGTTGTAGAAGGCGATGTAGAACTCCTTGGGCTTGCCCTCGTCCATCACGTACTTGGGCTCGTGCACCTGCACAAACATCTGCACCGCCTTGCGCAGGAACGGCTCGAACCTGCATCGCATGCAGCATACGTGTGCATGGAAAACAGAAGCATGCAAGAGTGGAATTTAGGGCACTTGATATGCAATCTCTGCAAGGTAATTGGGCTTTAACCTGCATGCGCGCATGGAGACATGTGCATGCATATGTGTATGCAGCAGACACGTGCCTGCATCCACGTAAATGGTCGTCTTGCCATACTGCACAATGAAATGCACCGCACTGCACCGCTACTCACCGGTAGAACTCCTCGAGAACCGCTGTAACGAGCGCCTGGTTGTGCGTCATGAGCGTGGCGAAGTCCACATACATGGTCGTCTTGCCGTACTGCACCATGGACTGCAGCTGCGCCACGTATTCGCGCACCATTGGCCCATCCTCCGCATCCTCTTCGTGCTCCTCGCCTCTCTGCTCCGCACTGCCACCCAGGTCCAGTCCAGCCAGACATAGCAAATCATAACCAGCCAGGCATAACCATCCAAATAGAGCCAGACATAGCCATCCAGATCCAGATCCAGCCAGACCAAGCCATCCAGATGCAGTCCAGCCAGACATTGACATTTGAATCCGGCCAGACATAGCCATTCAGATCCAGCTAGTCATACTCTGGCAAGTTGCCAAAGCCGGCGGGAAGTCTAAACCAAAAACCAGACCCCAACGACCATAGTCCAGACGCGAATGGCTGTCATTCAGCAAGATAGCAACGGAAATTCCATTTTCGAAGGAGTAGGAGCCATAGATTCACATCCCCGTGAATTACGAAATCACCTTCAGCTCATGCTTCTATTTTATCTTTCCTAACAACACGTTCATGAGTCAAAGCTCACCACTTTCGACTACGACAACCCGCTATTCCCTGAAAGAAAACAAATATGCTGATATGCAACGTTGCTTACGTCTGCAAGAAGTCGAAGAAGCTTCGCTGAACATTCTCCCCCTGAGTGTCGACAGCTGCAGCGCGAGGGAAATCTGGCCTTCCCTGACCACCAAACCCCCCTCCCACCGGAGCAGCACCAGCTCCAACACCGTTCATCCTCTCAAGATATTGCAAGTATCAGGATCTGTCAAAGGCTTCGAATTTCTCCAGCAAACTTGCCAGATCAGCTGTTAATCTGCAGTGGTCTCTAGATCGGTGTCAATCTGTCAAAGTTAGCTAGACGTAGATCGTCACAAGTCAAACCCTCTAGATGTGCTAGAAGACTAGCAGCAGATTCTAGCTAGAATCACTCTGACATCTTCAGGGGAGTCCGTTCCCGCCAAAACTTCATTTGGTGGGGTTCACTTGATGCTGTCAGATGACCTAGATTTTGGATTTGTACGCAATACTGAACGTTGCTTTCTGCAGAAAGTGCAATGCACTGTGCCAGATACCAGAAAAACAGTAAATGTATTTCATAATTTGCGAAACCCAGGATTGTGGTTGGGTTCGCCTCGCTAAAACGGATGTATTCCCGAGATGTGCCTGCGCGCGAACTCGAAAGCTCGGTCGCACGGGATCGCTTCAGGAGTCGCTGGTATCCATATCCACGATGTCTAAATATTAATTTTCGCCCACCCCTAGGATGCAATACAGCATGAAGACGTCGTATGTTGCTGTTACCACAGCCAGCGAAAACAGAATGCAGGTACTACCATCTGGCACAAATGCCGTTCCCACCTGATCGCCTGGAAGCTGTCTGGAGGGAGGCACCTGCGACTCGTAGACTTTGAATCAGAAAAGTGTTCGCAATCTTCGTTCATTCTTGGACAGAACAATCTCGCCGAGAGAAGTTCACCGTTCGTGAATGTTTCGCACTATTCGTCGTAAGAGGTTCCGCCGCCACGAACATTACTATCTGTTCCATTTTCCCCGCCCGCCCCTCTCCCCTCCCCCCAGGGTGCTCCAGCTCTCAGGGGGCTCATCCTCGCCTTCACCTGGGCAATTAGCAATTCCACAGCAGAAATACGCCCTGGGACACCAACTATCTTTTCTGCCAAGCTCCGAATCTGACGGTTTCGGCGCCATTCTCAGGGGCGTTTCTTTCTGCTTCACCAGCTATCTTTCCAGCCTGCTTTTCTTGATTTCGCGAGGCTCATAACGCCAGTAGCGCATCCACGCAGATGTCGTCGCGGAGCTTTTAGTTATTGCACGCCAGCTTGTATCTGTAGACCTCGTCCTAATCAGCGCGTAACAAATCTGGACCTATATACGAAGTAGTGGACCGTCGCTAGCACTCACCAATGGCTTCGCGACAAGTGGCTGTGCTTCTTCTCGCCTTAGCGGCCTCGGTTTTAGTTACATGCGAAGCGGGGAAATATAATGGTCAGCAGCAGCTCGCCGCAATTCGCGGAGCGCTCAAATCCAAGAACTGCAAAACATTTGATGCGTACCTCGACTCGACCGACTTCGTCAAGAGCCTTCTGCCGGTTCTTAACGACTGGAACGTGACGGTTCTCGCGCCGCTCGATTTTGCCTGGAGAACGGATTCCGCGAAAAAGGACATGGCGGACAAGAAGAAGGCTGCGCAGATCATTGGTTACCACTTCGTCGTGGGGCGTCGCGCGTTCAAAGAAATGCTTCGGTACAAGACGGGCACTGAGGTACGTGGTATCTGACGGACACTGAGGTACGTGGCATCTGACGGGCACTTCAGCTGATTGTTGACGTCTGGGTCGACTCAAAAGTGGTCGAACGTTCAAGGAGACCGGCACTGAGGTGTGTGCTAGCTACTACCCTAGAACAGCGCTCTTTCTTTTCTTCTTCTTTCGAAATGTGTTAAGTAGGAAAAAAAAAAAGATCTGATCGGATATGCTGATTGTTCGACTTCCATGATCCTAGACCGGTACAACATACGCTTTAGGATCACCGTCCCACGTCGACAGGTGTGTGGATGCATCATCTAGCTATATTAAGGAAGCACATAGCAATGTGGCGTCGGTTGCTTCCCAGAAGTTTGCCAGTTCGCACACGCGTTAACGTAGGACGTTCACCTGTGGCAAGCCTTCTGGTTCGCCCGTTTTTTCCTACGGTAACTCAGATTGGACGGATGGTGCAGGGTATTCTTTAAAATTTTCGAAAATACCCTGCAGCATTCGCCCGTTTATTCCTACAGTAACTCAGATTGGACGGATAGGGGATGAACTGCGGTGTTTTCAGTTTCCGCCCCAGATTCGTCAACCGTTGATATCACACAAGCCAAATGTCGTCAAGGGAGTTGTAAGGGATGCAGTGTGACCGGGTAGGAATCTGTTTCAGGGGCATTGCAGCGAAGTTACCTTATCGTCTACCATCCACATCATCTGTGGTTTCAGCGTTGGTTTCTGGACCAGTCAAGCGTCAGATTTTGTTTTCCAGTATTTCTCGTTTCCGGCTTTCGCTCTCATACTGTACCTGTGAATCACCATTGCCATGATCAACCTAATAACACTAATCATCCTCACCATCCGCTTCTGATCCTCTCTTGTTCCCCCTGTCTTGACAGATGGTGACTCTCAATTATGGAATGAAGATGTTGAATGTGCGGGCACCAATGGGAGTGGTGCGCTTGGGGGCGTCGATCGGAGCCAAGTACACGGGAAAGATTACGAAGCCAGGCCTATTTACTGGGAAGATCAATATAGTGCATGGCGTTGACACCGTGATTCGCCCTCCGTGGTACCAGGGAGTTAAGTGAGTTCTGTGACTGCTTTGTTTCTCTATGTCCTTAGTTATAGCAAGTGGTAAGATAACTGTATGGGGGCCTTGGGTCGTGTCTATAACCGATAAGAAAGGGTGTGCATGACATGCGATTTGTACAGTATAATGGGTTTATGCAGATTACTCAGTTTTATCTGGCAAGTGAGTTGTGTTTGACACCGTATGTCAGTCGCAACAACCGACAGTTCAAAGGATAGTTTCACTCTAATTTCAGCTGTGAGCTGGAACAAAGCAGTAGGCTCAATCCAGGCATGAATACAAAAGGCTCCTCGGCAGGGCCGGGGCCTCGAGCACCACAAGTCAGGCAAACAGACCAAACCAGGACATATATAGAGGCTGAAACGGCAATAAGACAGGTAGATGTTGAAAGTGCTGCAGCAATAGGTCACCGCCCCCCTTCAGATGTACAGGAAGCTTGATGAGGCGGCGAGGAAGGGAGGAGGTCAGGACTCAGGACATCCCATCCCATATAACTTGTTTATGACCGGTGCTTGATGTAAGGGTCCTTCCATCCCATTCATGTGTCACATCTCTCTAAGACTGGCGCTTGATGGCGTTGCGAATGTTCTCCAGCACCAGCCATGCTGCCTCCCCTCCCATGCTAAGCACAGCCATCACGTGTCACATCCCATTCATCACGTGTCACATCCCATTCGCCTAGACTGTTTAAGACTGGCGCTTGATGGCGTTGCGAATGTTCTCCAGCACCAACCATGCTGCCTCCCCTCCCACTGTCTCCTCCACCTTCTCGTTCTCCTTCCAGATCTGTCAGAATGAAGCGTGAAAGAAGACAGCATGGCAGAACACATGCTTGAGATGGAGTGTGTGTATGCATGTACGACGCCCATGCCTGCATGCGGGGTTGATATGTGTGTGTCTAGACAGCTGATAATGGTTCTGGAAGTGTCCGCGTCTGCGTGCGAGTGTTTTGTGTGTGTGTGTGTGTGTGTGTGTGTGTGTGTGTGTGGTGCATGTGTGCGTTCCTGATGTGTTTGGTCCAAACATTCACGCGTCAGAACGCAAAACAGACTAGGCCAAAGGGTGTAGTGTACCTGAATCGTTGGCATTTTCTGTTGCCATGTCAGGAGGCCCAAACGCCACCATGCACGAAACAGAGGAGAGGGGCGAACGGAACGAAAGGAAGGGCACACATGCATCAGTAAAACAGTACACATACAGCAACGGACAGAGACAGAAAGAGTGAAAGTTAAACAGCAGCAGCAAGGCCTGTATAGATGACCTTACTCGGTGGTGCTAAGAGAGAGAAGCAGCACGTGTTCTTATGTCTCACACATGTTGAGGTACAAACACACTCACTGTAACCCCCCCACTTTGAACCATCTTCACAGGGACCTTGTTGACATCCACCACAACAAACCAGACTTCTTCTTTTGCCTCACACACACTTACGCAGCAGTTAGAGTAACACTTATAAGGGAGCGGCAGGCACTCACCGTGACGCCTCCCCTCTGCACCATCTTCATCGGAACCTTGTTGACATCCACCACAACGGATGGTTGATTGGCACATGCACACTCTCACTCTTATGACTGACGCACTCGTTCAGATATTTTCTCAACACTCATGGAGCAACCAGCACTCACCGTGACGCCTCCCCTCTGCACCATCTTCATGGGAACCTTGTTGACATCCACCACGAAAAACCGCACCCTACTGCCGCCCCTCGTAGCGATATTTGACCAGCCATTGACCAGCCGTTGACCAGCCATTGACCAGCGTTGACCAACGTTGACCAGCAGTCAATGCACACAGCAATGCAGCCACCACAGCCAACGGTATCACGGCACGTTACGGCGCGAGATGCAGAGACGCAGGGCACAGAGCACAGCAGGGGGCGAAGGGCAGAGACACACAAGGAGGGGGCGTGGCGTTAGTTTGAGGGCAAACAGGGGAGAGAGGAGAATTTCGGAGAGCAAGAGGATTGAGATCGATCGAGAGGGAGAGGCATAACAGCACGCGGAGAACTTGGGAGGAGTGGGGGAGTGGGGGGAGCGGGGGGTCGGGGGGGGGTGGGGGATGTGGGGGGTGTGGGGGTGTATGGGGGTGGAAAGGCAGAGAGATGCAACGAGGAGACGTTGGGCTAGTGGAAGGGGCAAGGACGTATGAGAAATAGAGAAACAGAAAAGAAAGTATGAGAAGAGAAGGAGAATTGGAGAAACGAGAGGGCAAGGGATCGGGTTAAGAAGAGATTAGCACGAGGGTGGAAGTGGAAGGGCGGAAACCAAAGGGCAGAGCAGCAAGGGTGGAAGAGGAAGGGCCGAAACGAAAGGGCAGAGCAGCAAGGGTGGAAGAGGAAGGGCCGAAACGAAAGGGCAGAGCAGCAAGGGTGGAAGAGGAAGGGCGGTCGGGGTCACGGACTTGGGGTACTCGGGTACGAGCTTCTCAATCTTGGGCTTTAAGTAGATGCACTTGCGACACCACTGCGCCATCCTGGCATTGTTTAGGATTTAGAGGGAAGACGCGAGGAGAAATTAGAGGGACAGAGAGCATTGTTCAGGAAACTTCTGCGAGGAAAAGAATCAGGCGTACTTTAGAGTCCTCAAAATTTTCGGAGTGCGGTTCGGGACTTACACTAATGGATTAGCGTAATAGCACAGTGTGGCTGTACGGGGAAACTAGTTGAAGAGCATTCGCTGACTCAATCCGCGACGTTCAGGTAATATCGTAAATGGCTAGGACTGGATAATGACAACGCGATCGCCGCAATTCACGGCGTGCTCGAGGAATCGCGTATCAGTATAATAAAAAGTAAATGGTTATGGACGACCAACGTGGTTTACATGAGCTTACCAGTCGATGAGAACAAGGTCGCCGCAATCCGCGGCGTCCTTGAGCACCCAATCCAGCTCCTGCTCGCTCGTGATCTCGTGAAATGAATTCGGCAATCGCGGCGTGCCGTCCGCCGCGCTTTCCGCGTATGCCGCCATGACGCGCGGCGGAGCCGCGATGTCCGCGCGGCGGGAGTGACTGTAGCGGGAGGTTGACTGCGGGGGGAGCGACGGCGCGAGCGGGCGAGTCTGAGCGACGGTGACTGCGAGCGGGGATGACTGGCAGCGCGCGCCGTTACTCGAGCCTTGCCTCGGGCGGAAGCACTCGGATGAAATGGCGGGAAGCGATTGCGCCGACAGCGCGAAATGCGACGCGAGGGACGACATGATTGGCGAACGAAGGCGACGGCTACGAAGAGATGTGACGGTAGTTGTCGGTCGTGAATTTCGCGAGTCTAAGAGCGCTGTGAGACGCAGCTGGGAAAGCTGAAAAGGCTGGAATCTACAAAAACGCTACCGAGGTAAGTTCGGGCTAGGAGTGAAATGAGGAATGGACAGGTAGAATTTTGCCGCCCTTTTTATACATGCTCGTGGGGGGTGGAGGATGGGGGAAGGAGAGGGGGAGTTGGGGGGAAGTTTGTGTTGGGCGGGGACGGGGAGGGATGGCGGGCGGGAAAGAGCGGGGTGGGGGGAGACCTGTGGCGGATGAGTGGAGGCGCTGGAGCGAAGTCTGTCGCCCGCAATGCCCCTCCCCACACCCCCCCAACACTCTCCACCAGTTCTACGACTGGGGGGGAAGAACATGCTAGTTTCCTCCGCTATGCTGGTGTGCTTATGCGCGGCGCGAAAATCCATACGTGGCAGGCGGTTTTTGAGCTCCGCAGACGTGGCAAATCAGCTGGCATTCGTGGGCAGGCTGACCAGTTGGGTCGCGGAAAATTGTGGAGTTTTGGTGAAGATCGTGCCAGGGGAAATCCCCTCAACTACCATTTTTGTGGTGGGAAATTTTGACCTGTGCTGCGCTGGGCAGATGGGTGTGGGTGATATGGAAGGGTCAGTTGCGGGGTGAGGTGGAATGAGAGTGACAGTTCGTACATTCCGGAGGGACACGTCAGCGCATGTAGGTGTCCGCGCCAAGTCAGATTAGCTCCAGCGGTCCGCAGGTGGGATTTGTAACAATCACGGAAATCTGCGGTTCGGGAATGGGAACTGTTATCAGACAAAGTGTGATTCAATGATCTGCACAAATAAAAGGAACGGACTTTACCGTATGTAGATGCACTGTAATGTATACTGCACTTACAAAAATCAATGTGTTTGCTGTAGATTGAATCTTTGCCTGTATGGCTTGTTCTTGCCAGCGTGCAACATTCATCGTCGTCGAGTCATCAATAATCAACAAGCGATTATGAATGAGGATAGTAGCCACAAACGCAATCTTAATCCACTCAAACATGTCACCACACGTGCTTCTGTTAAGTTACTAAAGATAAAGCTGAGTTCATGCTAGAGACATGTTATACAGATTTTTTTTACAAATAATCAACATAAATGAATCCGCTGATGCTATGTGGAGTATGCGTAATGCTTGACTGGAAGTGTGAAGTGTAGAGTATGTGGCCTATTTGCAAGTGTGGGTTGGAATATATTCTCGGAATATGCTTTCCGTAAAACGAGAAGAATCTTTCTGCCTCCGTCGGATTTGTGGCCATCCAGCTGGATATTTTTCAATTGGTCTGAGAACGCAAAACCCCCAACCCCCGCAATAACAGCATTCCATCTGGCAGCGACGTTCCACCGTGTCAGAATGCAGCCAAGACACAACACCGCGACGCGAGATCACCCGAGGAATCATAGAATCCCCTCCTTATCGACCAGGAAATGCATCACCCCGCCGCCTCTCTCAATTTCCATCAACGATGCGACGCGACGCGATTTGATCAATCCCGCAACGTGCTGTAGGAAGGCATGCCACTTCCAACACCACCGATTCGCTAGGCCCCAGTTTCCCTCCAGATCCAACCAGCATCGAGCACCAGTGAAAACCCCCACGCGTGACATAAGTCCGCCTTTGTGGAAACGCCCTAGTATACATTTGACGGCATCTGGAGCCACTTTGCTCTGTGTTTCTTCCCGCAGCATATTGAAATTGCGCTTCTCCGCGCCAGCGAAGCAGCGTCGCCTCTTGCACGCCTCTAGCCGTCGACAATGGCGCGAACAAGCCTTACCAGCTCGGCCGTCCTCCTCCTCATCGTCGCTTGCGTAGCATTGGCGGCTAACGCACAGACGTACAAGACATGCCCGATCAGCGGCTCGCCGCCCTCTGACACGATGGTCCCGATGGTCCGCTGCCTGGCGGCACAGAAGCAGAGCTGCTGCATGCCGTGCGGAGACTACGAGCTCGGGCTGCGTCTCATCAAGTCGAACGGATCCAAGGGCTCCGAGTCGGCCTCTACCGGCACCGCCCTGTGGAACACCACCGGCATTTTCCCCTCGGGACCCCCTCCGGTAAGTCGTGCCGCACAATCTGCTTCCAATGCGTTCGCGTTTGCAATGCCGCAGCGTTCTTGTATCCGATCTGCTTCAAATGTCGCAGCGTTCTCCTGTCTGATCTGCAGCCAATGCCGCAGCGTCTTAAGTCCGATCTGCTTTTAATGCCCCTCGTTCTCTTGTCCTATGTTCTTCTAATGCCCCGGCGTTCTCGTGTCCGATCTGCTTCTAATTCCGCAGCGTTCTCGTATCCGATCTGTTCACATTTCTAATATTTCTTCATGTTGGAACTGAGAAGGGAACCACTGATGGCGGTTGCAGGGGTGTCCTGTACAGTGCAATTCGCCTTGACGTCGGTCCTGGTTCGGTGTGGCGAAGTTTTGTTAGGTTCTGCCCCTAATATTCGCTCCCTCCGTCTCTCTCGCGGTTCCCCCTGCTCTCTCATTTCAGACGTGCAATCTTCTGTCCGGCTTCCAGCAGTGCGAGCTGCTGCTTGAGTCCGTCGCCTGCGCCGCTACATGCAACCCTGGTAACCACCTGCATCCCTGGTAACAACTAACCTAGATTTTCGTAACCTACCACAACCCTTAGGGACTTGTCCAATCACAACTTTGGTAATCACTTTCTGTTACACTAATGCGACCACGTGATACCAACCTGTCAGTCATGATGGCATTTGTCTTTTGCGTACGCGTTTTAACCAGGTGATGCTACTTTTCAGGGTCGAGGTATCCTCTGGTATCGAGGAGCTTACCAAGTCTTTTAGGAACTGACCAGGCTTCGTTCCCAAGTAGACTCATCTTTATTTTCTTGTTCCTCCAATCCAATCCAATCCGATCCGATCTCGCCCTTGGCAACAGATATGGGTAACTACGTCGTCAAGTACAACGACGGCCCCACAATCACCATCTGCCCCACGTTTGCCGACCAGCTATATGCCGCCTGCAAGAACTCGCGATGTAAGTCTTCGCCATTGTTCGCTTAGTGGTCGCCTACTGTTCGCTCATTAACGCCTGCATGGTTGCCTCGCGACTTTGTGATTGTCTGTCAACGACTTGCAGATTTAGTTTGGTCGGAACGTGTCGAAATTGCATCGCATATCCTCTTGTCTCCTCGCAGATTTAGTTTCGGTTCATGTTCTCTCGTCCTGTTATTCTCCCTTCGGCTCTCCTCCGTCCTACCTCGCATCATTCTGCAATCAGCACCATCAACAATGTCACCGACGTTGTCGCGTTCGCCAGCTCTGCTCTTGTTCGTCCCCTTAATCTTGTCTATCTTTCCCATCCTAATGCATTCAGTTCACTTCCTACCTCGCATCATCACGTGCAGATGGTATCATGAACAACGTCACCGACGCTAGAACGTTCGGCAGCTTGTCTCTGACGGGTTTCGGAGCAATGTTCGGCATCATTGCGTTCAAGGCGGTCGTGGCTAACGTGGTCAGTGTGTGCTCCTGTTCGCATAATGACTACTGTGTTACTGTGTCTCTCTTCGCGAAATGTTACTGTGTTACTGCATTCGCCTCTGTTTTAGCGGTTGTTGGCATCATTTGTGTTCGCTAATGGTCCGGAATGTTATTTTATTACTGCACTGTCCATATGCGCTGTACTTCGACATTACTTCCTTCGCGATATGCGTCGTGCTCATATGATCTTCCTTGCTCTCAGTGCTCACATTCTCCCCCCTAGAGTGCTCGCGCAGCCTGTGCCAGTCACCAAAACCCATTTTGTGAACCCTGGAAACTCTATTCTTGGCTTCCATCTTTTGCGCCTTATTTCACCCCATTCACATCCCTCCACCCCCGTCTTTCCCCCCTTCCCCCTTCCTCTTCCCCCTCCCCCAGACTAACGCTAACTGCTTCAACGGCGTTGCGCCGCAATTCATTCCCAAGACCACGCTGTGCTGCGACCCCTTCGCTCTGGACCCCGAGAACAACTGCCCCATCGGGACTGTCGATCTCACCAAGTACACTGACCTCCTGAACCGCCCGATCAACACCACGCAGTGCATGAACGATACCAAGTATGAGAAGCCGATTTTCACTCTCCCGCCTTCCCCGCCTGTTCCCAAGGCGTCGGGAGTTGCGCGTCCCACGCTTGCTGGGGCTCTTCTTGCGATTGCGCTTATGATGTTCGCATGACTGTTTGCGTGGGATGAGAAGTAGCTGTGGGGCTTTTTGCTAGAAGTAGTTCTTGGGTTAGTTTTCCAGTACCTTTATGACCTTCGAGTGAAATAAAACTGCTAGTGGGATTTTTGTCAATGAGCTTCAGCAATCAGCAATCAGGTATTGTCAATGAGCTTCAGGAATCAGCCCAGAACCCGAGAGGTTACCAGGTGCCAGAAATTTGGTAGCAGTTTGCACCTTTTTGCAAACCTTGTTAATGCTATGTTACCGTACATTCAAATTTGTGCTGATGATGAGTGTAACTTTCCTTACTGGTGAAATGCTGCCTAGCAAAAATAATGGCTGCAATCTCTTGCGGGATTGCCTAGCGCAGATCCAAGCTCTCCTACGGTCTGCTTGAGAGTGCCGTACGTTTGCATTAGATTTACCATGTGCATGAGGTGTTGCTTGGTATGGTGAATCGAAATTCATAAGGTACATGTATACTGCATGCACTAACATAAAGCACCTACCGGTTGTTGAATGGTCTAGGCAGGGAATTAAACTTGAATGTGGCAACAGCTTAACCGTGCATTAGCTGTGTACACACTGTTTTAGCAAAATCCGCTAAACCGAGTACATTGCCTGCCAAAGCGCATTTCGTTATTGCATTTCGTCAGACTCGTGGTACCACGCGACTCGGCCATTTTCCAACTTCGGGGGACTTGCTGAATTGCATTTCACTCACAGCGCTGTGCAATTCCAAGGGTCCCTCCCCCACGTCATTCTTTGACAGTTCGGTCGGTTCAACGTCAGCCGGCAGGTACCGCCGTCAGTTTTCCCCCCTTACGGTTCCTCGGCACTTGAACTGGAACCAATCATCATCACTCCCTGCCCCACCATTCCCCCTCTACCCGGCGCGACATCCCCTGATCCCCCAAACAGCCGACCCCCACCACACCCTTCCGCCCCTTTTTCTTCCTTCCTTCCCCCCTTCTCCCGCCCCTCAGTCCGCTCAGCTCCGCACCGCACAGCTCCGCACCGCACCCAAGCAATTTCACTTGAGTAAACCGAGCAAACCCAGGAGACTGAGCAAACCGAGCCTTTTCCTCCACCCGTCGGCCAGCGGCCAAATCAACGGCGAATTCAGACCGAATTCCTTCTCATCATCATTTTCCTTCCCATCCCAAACTAGACTAAGACTAGGTGAGACGACTTGCTCAGACCGCGCCACCACGTAATTCGCCGTTAAACGATCCTGTCATTAGAAAGTTTCGCGTTTCTCGTCCGACGAAACGTCGCTTAGTTCGTGTTAGATTTGGCCTGATAGCCTCCGGCCGTACCGCGTCTCGTCCTAAAAGGCAGCAGGAAGGAGAGAGCCAAGGCGTACATATCTATAAGAATAGAATCGTTGTCCCAACGCCGAAACAGCTCGTTAATTCGATTCGACATGGTATACCTACGCGTTTTTTTCCATCTGTCCGTTTGGAGCTCACGGCGAATCTTTTTGACACTCCTGCTGATCGCGTGCCTCTCCGTTCACCCCGTTACCAGCACACGTTCGCACGCAAGAAGCTACCAGAATGATCACATCGCCGTTCATAACAGATTAGGCCGGCACTTTCACCGCCGACAACTCGTCGACGAGGATAACACTGCCAGTGACCGTTATCCTGACGCGGACTCTGTTTTTGAGGCGCCTCAAAAACACCGCAGACAACTCGTCGACGAGGATAACACAGTCAGTGACCGCGACGCGAGTAGTAGATTTAGCGACCGTTACTACGATCGCAACCACGATCGCGATTACGATCGCCGTCAACTGCGCGTTAACGATCTAGCCGACGGTCGTCCGGTTGACGGCCGAGCCGCCGGCAGTCAGGTTACTGACGGCCGTCACGATTTCGGTCAACGCCGCCGGCAGCTCTACGAGGCTGACGCCGCCATTCGCGCTCTGCACCATCACCACCTCCCAAGCGGCGGCGGCGGCGGCGGTGACGGCGGCTCCGGGAGTGACGCGAACGTGGAGGAAGAAGCGTTTTCTTCGTCCCTTTGCTGGAGCGTGTCAGAGCGACGCTACTACCAATCGGTGCGTCGCAGAAAGCAAGCATGAGAACTCTCGGTTGCGTGAAAACAAAAATCCACATGTGACGCACCCCAAAAGCTCGTCGCTCAGCTGTAGCGTGTCAGAGCGACGCTATTACCAATCGGTGCGTAGCTTCCGACGTGAAAGACTTTTGGCCTCGCCGACGTGTTTACCTCCCTGAGCTCACTTCCCTTTCACTTCCCTTTCGGTCTCCCGTTTGAGTTCATCTCGAGTGATTCTCCGATCTCCTTAACTTAGCGCCATCTGTCGCTATTGAGTCGACTCTGTCGAATCGGATTCCGCTTCGTGATTGTGATTCTGTCGTGCATGCACTGCAGCCGTACGGCACGGCGACGCGCGTGTCGCCAATGGTGCATTCGCTAACCGGGATTCTGGTTTGGAATTGTGATTCTATGCGTGCAGCCGTACAGCACGGCGACGCGCATGTCAGACGCGCTGTTCGAGCGCATCCAGCGCTACACCAAGACGCACGCCGCGTGCACCGCTGCCGTCGCCGACTGGCCGGCCTTTTTCAACGACCCGTGAGTTTCCTCCGCATCTCATGGCGGCTCCGCATCTCATGGCGCCTCCTTCCTCCTTCCTCTCTTGATCCCCATCCTCTCGCTTTCGAATCTCTGGAGTTGATCCTACCTCCCCCCCTGCACTCCACTCTCCCACATCCTCCGTGTAAACTTCTTGTTCTTTCGAACAGCACCCAGGCCCTCCTCCTCTCTCGCTTACCCTCCGCCCAACGTGTGTCCCACTCTCAGCGCGCAGGGGAGCTGGCTTTGAGAATTGTAAAAGACCAGGCTCCCTCCTTCTCCCGCTTACCCCGCCCAATCTCTTCTCTCCCCGCCCTTGTGTCCCACTCTCAGCGCGCAAGGGCTCAGCAACAGCAGCGGGGCAGCCGATGCGGCCGCGGACTGCAAGTACCTGCTGTGGCAGGAGCCCACGTTCAACGGTGAGTGAGAGTTCAAGTTGTGTTCCTCTCACCACTCAGGGCCTCAGCAGCACAGCAGCAGCAGCAGCAGCGCGTCAGCTGACGCTGTGTCAGACTGCAGGTGCCTGCTGTGGCAGGAGCCCACGTTCAAAGGTGAGTGAGAGTCCAACTCCTGTGTGTCTCTCTCTCAGCCGATGCGGCCGCAGACTGCAAGTACCTGCTGTGGCAGGAGCCCACGTTCAACGGTGAGTGAGAGTCCGTCTTGAGTGTGTCCCTCTCACCACTCTGGGTCTCAGCAGCAGCAGCAGCAGCGCATCAGCGGACGCTGTTGCGGACTGCAGGTACCTCTTGTGGCAGGAACCCACGTTCAATTGTGAGCGACAGTCCGTCTTTTGTCCCTCTCTCAGTCGATGCGGCCGCAGACTGCAACGGCGTGCCGTCTCTCCCCTCAGGCCTGGGAAATCAACTGCTCTCGCTCGTCTCTGCCTTCGTATACGCCCTCCTCACCGGCCGCACTGCTCTGATCAGCCCTGCCAATCCATCTCCCCCCTTCCCCTGCCCTCTCCATTTCCTTCTTCTTCCCTCAGGACTGGGAAATCAACTGCTATCGCTCGTCTCGGCCTTCATATACGCCCTTCTCACCGACCGCACACTGCTAATCAGCCCTGCAGCGTTCAACGCGCGTCTCCTCTGCAACCCCTTCCCCCACTCCTCCTGGCGACCATCCTCCCTTTCCTCTGATGACTTCGAGTGAGTGCCTTCTATGGGGAGTAAGCGCACCAAGCCTCTGAATGAGTGAGCGGGAGAGTCTTGAGACGCTGCTGCTCAGCCCTACCTACCGGCCTCACCTCCTCCTCTGCAACCCCTTCCCCCGCTCCTCCTGGCGCCCGCCGTCCCTCTCCTCTGACGACCTCGAGTGAGTGGCTTGTTAACAAATCTTCTTGGCACTCCCTCTCCCTCCCTCTCCCTCTCCTCCCTCGTTAACGAATCCGCCCTCCCTCCCTCTTTTCTCATCATAAGTTTGAGTCGCAATCTTTCTCGCCACCACATCCCATTCCTCCCCACCCCTCTCCATTCCTCCCCACCCCTACCCGCCCCTCCCAACCCCTCATTCCTGCCAGTCTGATGGCAGCAGTGGTGATAAATCACATGGTGGGGCGCATGGTGGGAATGGACGATGGGACGAGAGGAGCGTTCATCAGAAGGTGAAATCTCACTATTTCCCTCTACCACCTCCCATTCCTCCACACTCCTCCCCACCGCTCTCCATTCCTCCCCGCCCCTCCTCACCCCTTCCACGCCAGTCTGATGGCAGCAGTGGCGCGGGAATCACATGGTGGGGCGCATGGGAATGGACGATGGGGCCAGGGGAGCGTTTTGTCCCTCATACCTTAGTATCCCATACCTCCCCACTCCTCCGCACCCCTCCCCGAACCTCCCCACCCCTCCCCGCCAGTCTGATGGCAGCAGTGGCGCGGAATCTCATGGTGGGACGCATGGTGGGGATGGACGATAGGGGCGAGAGGAGCGTTCCTCATGCCTTAGTATCTCACTATTTCCCTCCACCACAACCCATTCCTCCCCACCCCTCCCCGCCCATCCCAACCCCGCATTTTTGCCAGTCTGATGGCAGCAGTGGCGCGGAATCACATGGTGGGGCGCATGGTGGGGATGGACGATGGGGCGAGAGGGGGCGACGAGGAGCAGAGGCACCCAAATGCTGCTTTCAGCGACCTCAGCTGCAGGTGGGTGGGGATGGGTGAGATGGGGTGATTGTGGGGCTGCGTGGGTGGGCCTGGTTGGGTGGGCTGCCATTTCTCAGCTATCTTCTTTATTATTATTATTTTTGGTCTCTCCCTCAGACTCACTCTCCTTCCCTTCTTCGCTGCTGCAGAGCCAACGTCTCAGATCTCGCGTTCTACTGCTCCAAGGTGCAGAGGCAGATCTCGGCCGTCCGTTTTCTGGGGTTCGATACAGAGGAGTACATCGTTCCAGCCCTCTACTTGGTTCCTGAATTCGATGTAAGCACACTTCGATGTAAGCACACCTGATGTGAGCACACTTGGATGTAAGCACATGCTTATGCTCTCATTCAGACGTCACTGGTAAAGACTCGATGCGTGCACACTTTCGTGCACATGGCATGCCCTGATCCCCTAACTCCTCCCGCCATTCTTCCTGTCTCTTGTCTATGCTGTTCTCCCCCGTCCGTCACTAACAGGTTGAGTTGGAGCGGCTATTCCCGACCGCCTGCCGCTGATGCACGTGGGGCGCTACCTGCTGCATGACTGCTGTCCCATGCTCCATGTGTGTTGACCACTTTGGTTCCTCTCCTCCCCCCTGTGCAACAGGCTGAGCTAGCACGGCTGTTCCCCGACCGCCTGCCGCTGATGCACGTGGGGCGCTACCTGCTGCACCCCGCCAACTACCTCTGGGAGGAAATCACCCGCGCCTTCCGAGCCTACCTCGCCCCGTACCAACACAGGGTCGGCATCCAGGTCCGTACCAATGCAGGTTCGGCATCTAGGTTCATCCTGACACAGGGTTGGCATCTAGGTTTGGAAGGTTTGGTGCTCAGGTCCGTAGAGAACCCGAGCGCAATAGGATCGGGATGTGATTCAGTTGACGCTGAAGGCTCGGTGTGTGATTCAGCGCGTTTAGTTGATTTTAGCAGTTTATGTGTTTTAGTGATTTAGTTGAGGGTCTTGGGTCTTAAGCAGTGCCTCAATACTCTTTTCTCTGCCCCAATATCCCCCTCTTCCTCCCTCTCTCCCCCTCCCTCCACCCATCCTTAGATCCGGGACTTCACAACAGACACAAAGGACAAGCCGCAAGTGATTCAACGCACGATGCAGTGTGTGTGCTTGAGGGAGGTTCGGTCTCCAGCAGTGCATCATTCCTCTCTCTCTGCCCCACTGTCCCCCTCTTCCTCCCTCCCTCCCTTCCTCCATCCCTCCGCCCATTTGCAGATCCGGGACTTCACTACAGACACTAAGGACGAGCCGCAAGTGATTCAGCGCACGATGCAGTGTGCTGTGAACATATCCAAGGGGCTGCCTCCGCTGATGGGGCACGCGCGGTGGAAGAGCATTATGAACGAAGAGGTGAGATTCGCGATGGGGCTTGGATGGAGGGGTTTGTAGAGTATCCACAGGCACGATGCAGTTTGCTGTGTTCCGCCGCCCCTGGTGGAGCGTGCACGGTGGAAGAGCATTATGAACGAAGAGGTGAGGGAAGGGGCTTGGATGGAGGGTTTCGTGAATTATCCAAAAGTATGACGCAGTGTGCTGTGTAAACATTGCTGAGGGGCCTGCCGCCCCTGAAGAGAATTGTGAACAAAGAGGTGAGGGAAGGGGCTTGGATGCACAAGCAGCAGGGGTTTGTAGAATATCCACAGGCACGATGCAGCTTGCTGTGAGAACATTGTGGGGGGTGGGGGGGGTTTGAGAATTCCCAAAAACACACTGCAGCATCTTGGATGGAGGGGTTTGTAGAATATCCACAGGCACGATGGCACGATGCAGGTTGCTTTGAGAACATTGCAGAATATCCAAAGGCTGCCTGCCCTGACGTGCCCACCCGTCCACCCACACATCCCCTCCCCGTCCCCCCCTCTCTCCTCCCTGCCTGCGCCCCAGGTTGCCCCGACTCCAACGGAGCAGCATTGGTTTGATCAAACACGGGACAAGGGTGGTGTGGCACATGAGGGCAGCAGTCCGCGCAGCATAGGCGTGTTAGTGGCATCCCTCAAGCGCACCTACCAATACGCCATCCGAGATGCATACATAGAGGGGGTGCCGCTGGGGGGGCACGACGTGGTGCTCACCCACAATCCCCCCTCCTCCCCTCCCTCTCCTTCCTGCTCCTCAGGTCGCGCCGACTGCAGAGGAGCAGCAGTGGCTGGATCGCTCGCGGGACAATGGTGTGGGAGCACATGAGGGCAGCAGTCCTTGCAGCATAGGCGTGTTGGTGGCGTCCCTAAAACGCTCCTACCAAGACTTTATCCGGGACGCGTATGTGGAGGGGGTGCCGCTGGGGGGGCACGTTATTTGCACCACATGCTCAGCCTTCTACCCATCCCCCTCTCCCCGCTCTGTGCCCCTCAGGTCGCCCCGACCGCCGTGGAGCTGCAGTGGCTGGATGAACCACGGGATAAGACCTATGACAGCAGCAGCAGCCCTCGCAGCATAGGCGTGTTAGTGGCGTCACTGAAACGCACTTACCAAGACGCCATCCGGGATGCGTATGTGGAGGGGGTGCCTCTGGGGGGCCACGACGTGGCGGTGGCCAGTCTGAGCCACGAGTCAGGGCAGACGTATGGCGAGGAGAGACAGCTGGAGCTGGCACTGAAAGAGATGTGGCTGCTGTCCATGTGGTGAGTGTGTGGCCTGGATTGAGCCTACCCGCCCCCCAGTGGCGTCCATGCCGCGAGCAGTCTGAGCCACGAGTCAGGGCAGTCTGAGGAGTCTGAGCCACGAGTCAGGGCAGACGTATGGAGAGGAGAGGCAGCTGGAGCTGGCACTCAAAGAGATGTGGCTTCTCTCAAAGTGGTGGGGCTCCGTCCAATGTGGGATAATGAGACTTGTTTTAGTTAGTGTATTTGTTGAGAGACAGCGCACCAAGTTCTCCTTACAGGCAGCCGACGTGTTTTTTGAGAATTCTCAAAAACCAGCTCATGTCAAAAACCAGCTCATGTCAAAAACCAGCTCATGTCAAAAACCAGCTCATGTCAAAAACCAGCTCATGTCAAAAACCAGCTCATGTCAAAAACCAGCTCATGTCAAAAACCAGCTCATGTCAAAAACCAGCTCATGTCAAAAACCAGCTCATGTCAAAAACCAGCTCATGTCAAAAACCAGCTCATGTCAAAAACCAGCTCATGTCAAAAACCAGCTCATGTCAAAAACCAGCTCATGTCAAAAACCAGCTCATGTCAAAAACCAGCTCATGTCAAAAACCAGCTCATGTCAAAAACCAGCTCATGTCAAAAACCAGCTCATGTCAAAAACCAGCTCATGTCAAAAACCAGCTCATGTCAAAAACCAGCTCATGTCAAAAACCAGCTCATGTCAAAAACCAGCTCATGTCAAAAACCAGCTCATGTCAAAAACCAGCTCATGTCAAAAACCAGCTCATGTCAAAAACCAGCTCATGTCAAAAACCAGCTCATGTCAAAAACCAGCTCATGTCAAAAACCAGCTCATGTCAAAAACCAGCTCATGTCAAAAACCAGCTCATGTCAAAAACCAGCTCATGTCAAAAACCAGCTCATGTCAAAAACCAGCTCATGTCAAAAACCAGCTCATGTCAAAAACCAGCTCATGTCAAAAACCAGCTCATGTCAAAAACCAGCTCATGTCAAAAACCAGCTCATGTCAAAAACCAGCTCATGTCAAAAACCAGCTCATGTCAAAAACCAGCTCATGTCAAAAACCAGCTCATGTCAAAAACCAGCTCATGTCAAAAACCAGCTCATGTCAAAAACCAGCTCATGTCAAAAACCAGCTCATGTCAAAAACCAGCTCATGTCAAAAACCAGCTCATGTCAAAAACCAGCTCATGTCAAAAACCAGCTCATGTCAAAAACCAGCTCATGTCAAAAACCAGCTCATGTCAAAAACCAGCTCATGTCAAAAACCAGCTCATGTCAAAAACCAGCTCATGTCAAAAACCAGCTCATGTCAAAAACCAGCTCATGTCAAAAACCAGCTCATGTCAAAAACCAGCTCATGTCAAAAACCAGCTCATGTCAAAAACCAGCTCATGTCAAAAACCAGCTCATGTCAAAAACCAGCTCATGTCAAAAACCAGCTCATGTCAAAAACCAGCTCATGTCAAAAACCAGCTCATGTCAAAAACCAGCTCATGTCAAAAACCAGCTCATGTCAAAAACCAGCTCATGTCAAAAACCAGCTCATGTCAAAAACCAGCTCATGTCAAAAACCAGCTCATGTCAAAAACCAGCTCATGTCAAAAACCAGCTCATGTCAAAAACCAGCTCATGTCAAAAACCAGCTCATGTCAAAAACCAGCTCATGTCAAAAACCAGCTCATGTCAAAAACCAGCTCATGTCAAAAACCAGCTCATGTCAAAAACCAGCTCATGTCAAAAACCAGCTCATGTCAAAAACCAGCTCATGTCAAAAACCAGCTCATGTCAAAAACCAGCTCATGTCAAAAACCAGCTCATGTCAAAAACCAGCTCATGTCAAAAACCAGCTCATGTCAAAAACCAGCTCATGTCAAAAACCAGCTCATGTCAAAAACCAGCTCATGTCAAAAACCAGCTCATGTCAAAAACCAGCTCATGTCAAAAACCAGCTCATGTCAAAAACCAGCTCATGTCAAAAACCAGCTCATGTCAAAAACCAGCTCATGTCAAAAACCAGCTCATGTCAAAAACCAGCTCATGTCAAAAACCAGCTCATGTCAAAAACCAGCTCATGTCAAAAACCAGCTCATGTCAAAAACCAGCTCATGTCAAAAACCAGCTCATGTCAAAAACCAGCTCATGTCAAAAACCAGCTCATGTCAAAAACCAGCTCATGTCAAAAACCAGCTCATGTCAAAAACCAGCTCATGTCAAAAACCAGCTCATGTCAAAAACCAGCTCATGTCAAAAACCAGCTCATGTCAAAAACCAGCTCATGTCAAAAACCAGCTCATGTCAAAAACCAGCTCATGTCAAAAACCAGCTCATGTCAAAAACCAGCTCATGTCAAAAACCAGCTCATGTCAAAAACCAGCTCATGTCAAAAACCAGCTCATGTCAAAAACCAGCTCATGTCAAAAACCAGCTCATGTCAAAAACCAGCTCATGTCAAAAACCAGCTCATGTCAAAAACCAGCTCATGTCAAAAACCAGCTCATGTCAAAAACCAGCTCATGTCAAAAACCAGCTCATGTCAAAAACCAGCTCATGTCAAAAACCAGCTCATGTCAAAAACCAGCTCATGTCAAAAACCAGCTCATGTCAAAAACCAGCTCATGTCAAAAACCAGCTCATGTCAAAAACCAGCTCATGTCAAAAACCAGCTCATGTCAAAAACCAGCTCATGTCAAAAACCAGCTCATGTCAAAAACCAGCTCATGTCAAAAACCAGCTCATGTCAAAAACCAGCTCATGTCAAAAACCAGCTCATGTCAAAAACCAGCTCATGTCAAAAACCAGCTCATGTCAAAAACCAGCTCATGTCAAAAACCAGCTCATGTCAAAAACCAGCTCATGTCAAAAACCAGCTCATGTCAAAAACCAGCTCATGTCAAAAACCAGCTCATGTCAAAAACCAGCTCATGTCAAAAACCAGCTCATGTCAAAAACCAGCTCATGTCAAAAACCAGCTCATGTCAAAAACCAGCTCATGTCAAAAACCAGCTCATGTCAAAAACCAGCTCATGTCAAAAACCAGCTCATGTCAAAAACCAGCTCATGTCAAAAACCAGCTCATGTCAAAAACCAGCTCATGTCAAAAACCAGCTCATGTCAAAAACCAGCTCATGTCAAAAACCAGCTCATGTCAAAAACCAGCTCATGTCAAAAACCAGCTCATGTCAAAAACCAGCTCATGTCAAAAACCAGCTCATGTCAAAAACCAGCTCATGTCAAAAACCAGCTCATGTCAAAAACCAGCTCATGTCAAAAACCAGCTCATGTCAAAAACCAGCTCATGTCAAAAACCAGCTCATGTCAAAAACCAGCTCATGTCAAAAACCAGCTCATGTCAAAAACCAGCTCATGTCAAAAACCAGCTCATGTCAAAAACCAGCTCATGTCAAAAACCAGCTCATGTCAAAAACCAGCTCATGTCAAAAACCAGCTCATGTCAAAAACCAGCTCATGTCAAAAACCAGCTCATGTCAAAAACCAGCTCATGTCAAAAACCAGCTCATGTCAAAAACCAGCTCATGTCAAAAACCAGCTCATGTCAAAAACCAGCTCATGTCAAAAACCAGCTCATGTCAAAAACCAGCTCATGTCAAAAACCAGCTCATGTCAAAAACCAGCTCATGTCAAAAACCAGCTCATGTCAAAAACCAGCTCATGTCAAAAACCAGCTCATGTCAAAAACCAGCTCATGTCAAAAACCAGCTCATGTCAAAAACCAGCTCATGTCAAAAACCAGCTCATGTCAAAAACCAGCTCATGTCAAAAACCAGCTCATGTCAAAAACCAGCTCATGTCAAAAACCAGCTCATGTCAAAAACCAGCTCATGTCAAAAACCAGCTCATGTCAAAAACCAGCTCATGTCAAAAACCAGCTCATGTCAAAAACCAGCTCATGTCAAAAACCAGCTCATGTCAAAAACCAGCTCATGTCAAAAACCAGCTCATGTCAAAAACCAGCTCATGTCAAAAACCAGCTCATGTCAAAAACCAGCTCATGTCAAAAACCAGCTCATGTCAAAAACCAGCTCATGTCAAAAACCAGCTCATGTCAAAAACCAGCTCATGTCAAAAACCAGCTCATGTCAAAAACCAGCTCATGTCAAAAACCAGCTCATGTCAAAAACCAGCTCATGTCAAAAACCAGCTCATGTCAAAAACCAGCTCATGTCAAAAACCAGCTCATGTCAAAAACCAGCTCATGTCAAAAACCAGCTCATGTCAAAAACCAGCTCATGTCAAAAACCAGCTCATGTCAAAAACCAGCTCATGTCAAAAACCAGCTCATGTCAAAAACCAGCTCATGTCAAAAACCAGCTCATGTCAAAAACCAGCTCATGTCAAAAACCAGCTCATGTCAAAAACCAGCTCATGTCAAAAACCAGCTCATGTCAAAAACCAGCTCATGTCAAAAACCAGCTCATGTCAAAAACCAGCTCATGTCAAAAACCAGCTCATGTCAAAAACCAGCTCATGTCAAAAACCAGCTCATGTCAAAAACCAGCTCATGTCAAAAACCAGCTCATGTCAAAAACCAGCTCATGTCAAAAACCAGCTCATGTCAAAAACCAGCTCATGTCAAAAACCAGCTCATGTCAAAAACCAGCTCATGTCAAAAACCAGCTCATGTCAAAAACCAGCTCATGTCAAAAACCAGCTCATGTCAAAAACCAGCTCATGTCAAAAACCAGCTCATGTCAAAAACCAGCTCATGTCAAAAACCAGCTCATGTCAAAAACCAGCTCATGTCAAAAACCAGCTCATGTCAAAAACCAGCTCATGTCAAAAACCAGCTCATGTCAAAAACCAGCTCATGTCAAAAACCAGCTCATGTCAAAAACCAGCTCATGTCAAAAACCAGCTCATGTCAAAAACCAGCTCATGTCAAAAACCAGCTCATGTCAAAAACCAGCTCATGTCAAAAACCAGCTCATGTCAAAAACCAGCTCATGTCAAAAACCAGCTCATGTCAAAAACCAGCTCATGTCAAAAACCAGCTCATGTCAAAAACCAGCTCATGTCAAAAACCAGCTCATGTCAAAAACCAGCTCATGTCAAAAACCAGCTCATGTCAAAAACCAGCTCATGTCAAAAACCAGCTCATGTCAAAAACCAGCTCATGTCAAAAACCAGCTCATGTCAAAAACCAGCTCATGTCAAAAACCAGCTCATGTCAAAAACCAGCTCATGTCAAAAACCAGCTCATGTCAAAAACCAGCTCATGTCAAAAACCAGCTCATGTCAAAAACCAGCTCATGTCAAAAACCAGCTCATGTCAAAAACCAGCTCATGTCAAAAACCAGCTCATGTCAAAAACCAGCTCATGTCAAAAACCAGCTCATGTCAAAAACCAGCTCATGTCAAAAACCAGCTCATGTCAAAAACCAGCTCATGTCAAAAACCAGCTCATGTCAAAAACCAGCTCATGTCAAAAACCAGCTCATGTCAAAAACCAGCTCATGTCAAAAACCAGCTCATGTCAAAAACCAGCTCATGTCAAAAACCAGCTCATGTCAAAAACCAGCTCATGTCAAAAACCAGCTCATGTCAAAAACCAGCTCATGTCAAAAACCAGCTCATGTCAAAAACCAGCTCATGTCAAAAACCAGCTCATGTCAAAAACCAGCTCATGTCAAAAACCAGCTCATGTCAAAAACCAGCTCATGTCAAAAACCAGCTCATGTCAAAAACCAGCTCATGTCAAAAACCAGCTCATGTCAAAAACCAGCTCATGTCAAAAACCAGCTCATGTCAAAAACCAGCTCATGTCAAAAACCAGCTCATGTCAAAAACCAGCTCATGTCAAAAACCAGCTCATGTCAAAAACCAGCTCATGTCAAAAACCAGCTCATGTCAAAAACCAGCTCATGTCAAAAACCAGCTCATGTCAAAAACCAGCTCATGTCAAAAACCAGCTCATGTCAAAAACCAGCTCATGTCAAAAACCAGCTCATGTCAAAAACCAGCTCATGTCAAAAACCAGCTCATGTCAAAAACCAGCTCATGTCAAAAACCAGCTCATGTCAGTGCGTAACACTCTCTGCTCTCCCCTTCCTCTCTACCCCACCCCAGCGACCTGCTGCTGGTGTGTGACAGCTCCACCTTTGGTTGCATGGCGGCGGGGCTGGCGGGAGTGCAGCGCACTAGCTGATATCGTCCTCACCCATCCAAATGCCCCTCCTGCTCCCCACTCCCCTCACCTCCCCAGTGACTTACTGCTGGTGAGTGACAGCTCCACCTTTGGCTACATGGCGGCGGGGCTGGCAGGGGTGAGCCCATTCTCGCTCAACATCGTGCCTTCTAGCAACATGCTGAAAGAAATGACCCTGCCTCCCTCTTCCCCCATGCCCCCACTCTCCCCCCCTATTTCCCCCAGCGACCTGCTGCTAGTGAGTGACAGCTCCACCTTTTGGCTACATGGCGGCCGGACTAGCAGGAGTGAGTTCCTTCTCCCTCAACATCGTGCGGCGCATGGGCGCTGACTGGGGCGTCAACGGGCGTGCGGGCTAGGAGCAAGAAGGGGCCCACTCCTGCCATGCCATACCAGCTGTTGATACCGTACTCACCCTCTCCATGCCCCAACCCCTCTGCCACTCCCCTCCCCCACAGCGATCTACTGCTGGTGAGTGACAGCTCCACTTTTGGCTACATGGCAGCCGGACTAGCAGGAGTGAGTCCCTTCTCCCTCAACATCGTGCGGCGCATGGGCGCTGACTGGGACGTCAACGGGCAGGCAGATTGGGAGTAGAAGTGTTGGCCTTTGAGGCGCCTCAAAAGCCTCTCGCTCAAGATCGTGCATTGAATGGGCGCTGACTGGGGGACGTCATGCACCACCCTTCCTCATACCCCATCCTCTCCCCCATCGCCTGTGAATGCCCCCTTTTTCCCTCTCTCCCCCATCGCCTGTGAATGCCCCCTTTTTCCCTCTCTCCCCCAGTGACTTACTGCTAGTGAGTGACAGCTCCACCTTTGGCTACATGGCAGCCGGACTAGCGGGAGTGAGCCCCTTCTCCCTCAACATAGTGCAGCGCATGGGCGCTGACTGGGATGTCAACGGGCGGGAGGAGTGGCAGCAGCAGGAGTGAACCCTGTCTGTTCCTTGAGCCTCAGCCCATGGAAGGATGAACCCCCCTAAGAATGACTTTCTCCAATTCTTCCATCCCCCGCTCTCCCCCCCAGTGACCTGCTGCTGGTGAGTGACAGTTCCACCTTTGGCTACATGGCAGCTGGACTAGCAGGAGTGAGCCCCTTCTCCCTCAACATTGTGCGGCGCATGGGCGCTGACTGGGACGTCAACGGGCGGGCGGAGTGTGAGGTCACCACACCAGAGCCCTGCTACCTCTCCATGCTGGAACCACAACAACATGAAATCCAGGTGCGTGTGTGCAAAAACACCATCCAAGACTGGGAACGAAACAATCAGTCAGAGTGTGAGGTCACCACACCAGAGCCCTGCTACCTCTCCATGCTGGAACCACAACAACATGAAATCCAGGTGCGTGTGTGCAAAAACACCATCCAAGACTGGGAACGAAACAATCAGTCAGAGTGTGAGGTCATCACACCAGAGCCCTGCTACCTCTCCATGCTGGAACCGCATCAATGGCAGGTTCAGGTGTATGGTGTTTACCGAGACAGAGCCTTTTCTGCAGCCGATTCACGTGATTCTTGTGTACTCCATTCTGTCCCACGCTGTGGAATGCACTCTTCTTCCCATCCTCAACCTCCCCACAACTCATCCTCTTCCCTTTGCCTCTCCTTTTCTCCCCCTCCCTTCCCGTTTCCCCCCTCTCGTTTCCCCCCTCTCGTTTCCCCCCTCTCGTTTCCCCCCTCTCGTTTCCCCCCTCTCGTTTCCCCCCTCTCGTTTCCCCCCTCTCGTTTCCCCCCTCTCGTTTCCCCCCTCTCGTTTCCCCCCTCTCGTTTCCCCCCTCTCGTTTCCCCCCTCTCGTTTCCCCCCTCTCGTTTCCCCCCTCTCGTTTCCCCCCTCTCGTTTCCCCCCTCTCGTTTCCCCCCTCTCGTTTCCCCCCTCTCGTTTCCCCCCTCTCGTTTCCCCCCTCTCGTTTCCCCCCTCTCGTTTCCCCCCTCTCGTTTCCCCCCTCTCGTTTCCCCCCTCTCGTTTCCCCCCTCTCGTTTCCCCCCTCTCGTTTCCCCCCTCTCGTTTCCCCCCTCTCGTTTCCCCCCTCTCGTTTCCCCCCTCTCGTTTCCCCCCTCTCGTTTCCCCCCTCTCGTTTCCCCCCTCTCGTTTCCCCCCTCTCGTTTCCCCCCTCTCGTTTCCCCCCTCTCGTTTCCCCCCTCTCGTTTCCCCCCTCTCGTTTCCCCCCTCTCGTTTCCCCCCTCTCGTTTCCCCCCTCTCCCCATCTTCTCCACCTCGCCTTGCGTGTGGGACACCCCAAACATGCCGTTTCCTGAATCAACAAATTATCATGACCACTCCACGAACCATCATCACCACTGCACCTGCTACAGTGTCCTGGAGAGCCTCCCAAATCGCCTGTAGAAATGTCTCCCAAGGTAAATTACTGCCCAAACTACAAAATAGGAATCGCTCTGGACGTTCCAAATCCCAAGCAGTATGAGACATTCAAGAGGTCATAACCAAAGGACATGGGGAAAAGGGATTGTGCATGGAGATTGATTGCGATGCTTGCATAAAGGCCCACAATCATCACTTGCATTGCACGCCATCCTTCATGCTCTTTTACCAGCAGCATGGAGATCGATTGTGTTGCCTGTATTAAGGGACTAGCATTATAGGGCTGCGGGAAATGTTATTGTGACCTGCAGTTCCATATATGGTGGTGCATTTCGCAGTACATACTGTATGTTCTGGTTCAACACTTCAACGCAAAGAAGGCTCACGTGTTCTAGAGTCCACAGTTGCAATGAGAACGAGGTGTTGGCAATAGATAGGTGAAACACATACCCGTACCCTGCCGAGCAACCAACCTGGGTGAAGATGGTGGCCCAAAATGGTCTACTCCCATGAATCAGGGCAGGAAAAAACAATTGCGCATCCGGGGAATCGAACCCCGGTCAGTACCGTGGGAGGGTACTATGATACCACTACACTAGATGCGCACGTGACAACTGTAAACTGGTTTTTATTGATGCATTTTGCAGAAACAAATACTATAATGCTTAACATTTCCAGATCGGAGTATTCAGTACTGCACTACTGTGGGATGTGGCTTATTTATTCACACAAAATGCACATGCAGAGACTACTAGTCTTGAATGTACTCTGTGCCATTGAGCAACGCTGCCTCTGCCCGCTGCAGTTCCCTTCCCAGGTAATTCGCATGGTTCAGCATTGTGACAGGCGGCATTTGTGACAATATCGAAGCGGAAACCCCTTCAGCAGTTGTCACTGACGCTGCTGCCGATGCTCCTGCTGTCTCTGACCCTGCTTGTATCCCTGCATTCTCCTTGCTTTTCCTCTCTGCTGTTCCCCTGCTTTTCTCCCCAAGTCTAAAGTACTGCTCTAGGATCATCACACTGACCTCCTTTGCTGTCCTACCCCTGGTTGGACAGAGGGAGAGGGAGGACGTGAGAGGGAAGAGGAGAAGGGGGGCTGAGTGGAGGACAGTGATGGAGATTGTCTGGGGGAGGACGTTCCAAATCCCAAGCAGTATGGACCGAGAAGAGAATGGGAAAAAATAGAGGAGGAGGAAGGAGGGGGAGGAAACGGTGGGGGGGGGGGGGAAACGGTGGGGGGAGGAAAGGAAGGGGGAGCAAAGAGGGTTTGGGGAAACGAGGAGTGGGACGGAAAGCGTGGGGACGAGAGAAATGTAAAAGACTGTAAGGGCAGACGTAGAGGGAGCGAGGAAAGGGAAAGAGAAAAACAGGACAACAAGAAACAGGAGAAGCCTAAATGCATGAAGTCAGAATCTTACCGATACACGCGCAGGGGAGTGGGCTTGTAGGAGCCATCGCAGGGAATGGGTTTCCCCGTTACAGGGTCGCACGCGCGGCCTTTACTGTCGATCAGGTTGCCAAAGTGCTGAGCGACTAGGCACTGCTGCTCCCTGTCCACGTAGATTATAAAGTAGCCCGCCGGATCTAGATCCAACGGTCGGCGTGAAAGCTGATCGTCCAGCTCACGCATGCTCTCTGATTGGAGGAAGGGAGAAGGGGGAACGCGGACGGGGGCGAGGGAGATAGAGAGGGGGGAAGATAAACGGAGGAAGGGCACGTGGGGAAAGAAGGGGAAAGGGCGGCGTCGGGAGACACGTGGCAGGGAAACGGATGGGGCACGGACACAAGGACACGTGGCATACCAGCAAGGGACATGCGATCGTCGTCGGCTAAGTCAGTCGGAGCGAACGGGTCGAAAAGATCCTCCTCGTCGCCAGTATCCTCGTTAAGAACAGACTCGTTATCGCCAGATAACGACGCGGTTTCACGTGAGAGGGAAAGCCTCGCGACGTGCTGTTTCCGTCGCGCGTCGTCGACACGGGCTCGCAGACCAATCAGCACGCGACTCTCGTCGCCGTTGCGGCGCAAAGAGAGCGAGCCATGCGGGAGATGCGAAATTGTGCGAAAGGACAAGCGACAGGAGGACAAGCGGCGCACTGCCACGGGGGTGGGGACGCGAGCGACGCAAGGGACTGCGGCAGATGGGAGGGCGATCGCCATAGCGAACTGCGTCGAAGCCGCGCGATGGTAGAGAGACTACAGTTTACGGACTTGACTGAAAGCGATGGCAGCACGTGAACATTGTTATCACGAGAACTGATTTTATATTCCAATCGCCGCGCAAATGTCGAGCTTTCTCAAGTAGTGCAAACATCGCGGTTGGGGTTGATTGCTTGATGGGGAGGGCTGCACTTCTTTGCCCGTGTTTGTTTGAAATGGTTCTAGGAGGTTGAGAGATATTTGTGGCGTTTATGTATAACGACATTCGGTTCTCTTGGTAAATCCACTTGTCGTGATCCTCGTCAAGAGGTGGTTCAATGTTTCAACCCTTGAGAATACAGTCACGCAAAACAAGATGTTTCGTCTATTTATTGCGCCCACCCACAAACCTGCTCCAAACCCCTGATCCCTCAGTGTGGGGGTGGTTTCCACCAGTACCCTCTCCCCACCCTGCCAAGTCCACTTTCATCAAAGCACCAGGCCCACCAGATGCATAAAAGCTTCCTCTACCAACCTCTCATTCCACGGGGATTACTTCGCCTGGTTGCTATAGTCTGCTCTAGCTACCCTGTGAGAGAAGGCGTACCCTGTCATCATCAATCTTTTCCCCAAGAATTGAAGACATGTACAGGGGCTCAGCCCCTGCTATAATTTCAAGATGGGCCTAACCAACTGGGCGAGCATGCCTACTGCTTCTACCCAACCAGGGTGATTGGTAGTTGCTATCAGACACATAGTCCTGGTGTTACTTTCCTGAACGGCCGAACGGCAACGAGTGCATGCATTTCATAATGGTGAGTAAACGGGTTTTCCTGCACCCATAATGTGCGAGTAACAATGAAGTCTTTCCTGACGTATTTATCCGACTCAGTTCCTGGGGTTGGCTGGAAAGTGATGATCCACCTGAACGATACCTCTGATCTCTTTGATGACTCAAACTTTGATTTGCACGTCAGACTGATTCCACGCCCCCCAGAATTTACAAGCCTTTTAATCGTCCAGTAGTTTCTGCTTTATAAATCGTCGATCATTGGCATCTCTCGTTCATTGTTTTTTATGTGATACATTTGATGAGTTGCACCAAGGCGTATGGAGGATGATGATTACGTTGTCGCCCCAGACTGAGCAATCCTTGCTGATTCGATCTGGATGTTGCCAAACTTCCGTTTACTGACTCCTCGCCTTGGTGCAACTCATGGACTCATTGCCCTTCTGTGAAACCCTAGCCTGTTTCGGTCTCCCACCTTACCTAGCTCCCTTTCCATGTCCACACCATGCCGTGACTTGCTTGTCATTGGCCAATAATTTTCTTCTGTCATTCTCGTTTCTGTAGAGAAACCATGATCCGACTGCATTCGCAAAGATGCCTGCAGATGGCTTTGCTGGGGCGCCGGTCCAATGGAATATTGAAGATAGCTTGTCAAGGATTGTGACACAGCCTGAAGCTCTGGTCTGGCAGCTGTTTTCTCAAGCATGGAAGTGTTTCTGAAAAAAATGGTACTCTTGAGCGCAAAAGCGACCGTGCACTGATCATTTTGTGACTGTTACAGACGTGTTGTGTCAAGTTTTTGTGAGTATGGCATCCATGATCCATATGAAATTGCAAGCAGTCTTCCGGCTAGACATGTTATTGAACTCATGGAGTGAACAGGCACAAGATTTCTGATAAACATTTCGCCTGAACAGAGTGAACCATGCCAAACACGGATTAAGTGTTGATTCCCTGGATAACAAATTTTCCTGATGTACAGCCTCTCATTCAATAGCCCAAGAGGGTCTTGCATCAACCTAAACTCTTATAAACATAACACATTACCGTAACTCCTAAACTCACATAACCAAGAGCTGCAGAACTCGTAAGCCCTTCTATGGTGACACCTTATAATCCCGCAACTTCAAGCTGATTCAAACCATGATAGGGGAATATCATGGACGAACAGAGCCCTTGCCATTACGATGCTCTTGAGGGTAGGGGCAGTGAGAGAGCCTCCAGGTCATTCACAATAACCTGCTCGCAATGACATGGCAATGACACGCAAATGATGCATCAGATGAGCAGATGCTATGGAAATGTACACCCACTGTTCCGTCCATGACCGGCGCATGACAACCGGCAACGTAGCGGCATGATAAGCGGCAATAGGAGTGCGACAAATAGGGAGCACTCACCTCCCTCTCCTCCCCCCTGTACGAGTATCGCACTCTTAGCTTCTTGGGCAGACCAGGCGCGGGATCACAGAAGCCCATGATGCCCTTCTTGCTCACACCCTCATGCAACTGAAGGGAGAGGCGGCGGAGACAGGAGATAGGGGAGAGAGGGGTCAGGTGGAGGGAAGGGGTCAGGTGGAGGGGAAGGGTTGGGTTCGGGTTAAACTTGCAGCTTCTTGGGCAGACCAGGTGCAGGATCACAGAACCCCATTGATCCCCTTCTTGCTCACCCCCTCGTGCAACTGTGTGGGTATGGTTGTGCGGTGGTTGAGGAGGGAGGGAGGAGGGTGGGGAGGAGAGGGGGTGGGAAGGGTTTGGGTTGCACTCGCAGCTTCTTGGGAAGCCCAGGCGTGGGATCACAAACCCCATGATTCCCTTCTTGCTCACTCCCTCGTGCAGCTGAGACAGAAGAGGAGGAAGGGGGGGAAAGGGGGGTGTTGGGGAAAGGTTGGGGGGAGGTTGGAGAAAGGTGGAGGGTGCCAAGCAGAAAATGCAGAGTGAAGAGACATGCGTGCATGCATGAGAGAGTTGGCTGCTGCACCTTCAAGGACCTGAATGTGACACCTGTTGCAGTACCAAACGCGGATGAACCAAAACCTGCAGCAGCACCACATGCAGCACACACACCACATGCAGCACACACACCACATGCAGCACACACACCACATGCAGCACACACACCACACGCAGCACACACCACATGCAGCACACACACCACATGCAGCACACACACCACATGCAGCACACACACCACACGCAGCACACACACCACACGCAGCACACACACCACATGCAGCACACACACCACATGCAGTACACACACCACACGCAGTACACACACCACACACATCACACACAGCACACACAGCACACGCACCACACGCACCTGCAACGTGTTGCTCGCATCGTCCACCAGGAATTGCAGAGGAATGCGAACGTCCCACACTGCAGGAGGCAACACTACCCTGTCCGCTCCCCCCTCCCCTTCCTCCTCCTCCCACTCATCCTCGTCCTCCTCTTCCCTTCCGCCCACTCCCTCCTCCCCTCCTCCTCTTCCTGCGAGACCAATAGTGAACAATCCTCTAAGTCCTCTAAGCATCGAACCTATTCTTGTAACTGGGCCCTCCTTTTCCCTTCCGCTACTGCCGCTGTCACCACCACCACTATCACCACCACCACCAGCACCACTACTACCCCTGTTGCTATCATTCCGGTTCTCCCCCTCCCCTTTCCCCTCCACTCCTCCCAGCCGTCCATATTTTGCCGATAAGATGATAAGAGCATTGCCGTTGGGTCGTTGTTGTAACGCGTTGACCCGTCTGGTTACCACCGGAGCCATCATGTCCTGAAGCTGCCGAGCCTCCGCCATGGACTCCCAGACCTGCTTCGCTGTCTTCTGCCGAACCTCCCGGTCCTGCCGAGCCTCTCGGATCTGCTTCCATCGGCTGAACACCCAATGCTGGGAAGGAGGACCGGAAAGAAAACAAAAAACTTGATTCTCAGCTAATTGCTCTCGGTTTTTTCGCGAAAGGTGAAGAGATAATAGCCTTGAGAACAGCTTCAGAAGCGGATAGTGACGGTTGCATATCTTTTCTGTAACAGGCATTACCTTGAGCACAGCGTATGTGACAGAGGGTATAAGAATGGCTGGCATGCTGATGGCTGGTCGTAGAGTGGGCGAGAGAAGAATCTGGATGATGGCGAGAAGTGGAAGAGGGGCGGTGGGGAAGAAGACAATAGCAGGGATACAATGAGAGGAAGGATTAGGAGAGCGCCACCTCTAGTCATGCTTTTTAAAGAAAGCACAAAAACGATATCAAGCCGTAGAAGAAGCGATGATAGTAGAAAAGATGATAGCATACCGAGTTTTACTCTTGATATATATATATATAAAAAACCAAAGGCTCTCACTCACTGGCACAGTGACCTTCTGACCGCCTCGAGAGTACCGGACCTTCCATAGTGTGCCCTGGGAATGGGGTGAAGTGCGGTGATGTGGGATGATGTGAGGATGAAGTGGGGTTATGGGGGGTGATGTGGGGTGATGCAGCGTGGTGTGGGGAAATGAGGAGGTAGGGTCATGGGTCACACATGTGTGTATTCCTCATACAGAAATCTGAACGACCAGCACAGCAGTAACAGATGCAACACCAGCAGCATACCATCAACATACCACCACCAACGCACCACCAACATACCACCACCAACGCACCATAGATGCAAGACCCAATGTTGCCACTCACGTGCAATACCATAGTAACAAAGAGACCCAGGGAACTGCTGTCTGATGTCTTCCTGCTGCCACTGCCACTGCCGCTGTTACCCACATGCTCACACTCACCTGCTAGTGCCGTAGCACATGGTGCTGGGGCCCTTACTCACCTGCAATCCCATGGTAACAAAGAAACCCAGGGAACTGTTGTCTGATATCTTCCTGCTGCCACTGCCACTGCCGCTGTTACCCACATGCTCACACTCACCTGCCAGTGCCGTAGCACATGGTGCTGGGGCCCTTACTCACCTGCAGGCCCATGGTAACAAAGAAGCCCAGGGAACTGTTGTCTGATATCTTCCTGCTGCCACTGCCACTGCCGCTGTTACCCACATGCTCACACTCACCTGCCAGTGCCGTAGCACATGGTGCTGGGGCCCTTACTCACCTGCAGGCCCATGGTAACAAAGAAGCCCAGGGAACTGTTGTCTGATATCTTCCTGCTGCCCCCCACCTCAACGTCTGCTCCCGTGCTGAAGTGGGTAGAGTGCAGAGGGTTACGAATGTGAGAATAAAAAAAAAGGAGTGGAAGGGCTTTAGAAAAGTGATATTTTCTGCAGCCCCAACCCTCCAGGTTTCAGTTGTTTGTTTGTTTCTTTTGTTAAGTGTTTTAGAACAGAGCACCATACGACCACCCACAATCCCCTACAAGATACAAATGCACGCACCAGCAGTGGTACATAGCTAGAAAAGCATCGCACACAACCCCACACAATCCCCCACGATCCCGCAAAACCACACTTACGTTCCCAGCCTGCCATGTATTCTCCCCGACGAATGTTCCGAGAACCTTCTCACGAAAGTGGCTGTGAGGCCCCCAGAAGACAGCCCTGCTCCCACCTGGTGGGGAGGGAAAGCGGGGGGGGGGGGGAAGGGGGGGGGGGAGGGGGAGGGAAACAGGGAGAAAGTATTGGGTGGGGGGGAAGCGGTTAAGGGGGAAAGGAGGAAGGAATGGGGCACGGTGAGGAGGGGGGAGAGGGGGAAAAAGGAGGAGTTGGGGAAAGAGGGGACAGGGAATGGGGACGTAAAGAGGGGGGGAAGGAGAGAATAAAGACTGACCTAGGGGAAAAAGAAAAAGAAAAGAAAGGGAAAAAGAATCTCCTCCTGCAAGAGTAACAAAAGACGAGAGAGAGTTTTAAGATGAATGCAGGACCCAGGGGAAATATGGGTTTGACACTGACTGAAGGAGAGACTGGATTTGATACTTGCCTGATTTGGAGCTTAGGAACGTGTACACTGGATTCTCACTCACTTTCATCTCTGCATTGAATGAGTTTTTGTCCTTCCGTGTGTGCCAGCCCACGCCTGCACCACCATCCGCTCCCAGCCCAATGTTGATCTGCATGAGAAACGATAACAAGAAAAGCAGCGTGCAATCTTCTATAAGTGAACCCAAAGTGAAATTTGAGTCGAGTCACAAGTCGCTCCCAGCCCAATGTTGATCTGCATGAGAAACGATAACAAGAAAAGCAGCGTGCAATCTTCTATAAGTGAACCCAAAGTGAATTTTGAGTCGAGTCACAAGTCGCTCCCAGCCCAATGTTGATCTGCATGAGAAACGATAATAAGAAAAGCAGCATGTAACTTGCTAAAAGAAAAAAAAGCTGCAGAGGAAATTCTGAACCTAGTTTGCCTTGGGTAAACGTTCGCACGGACCTCCAATTGTCTACCATGGGTGATTTGCACGAGAGGCAAACAAGTAGCATGATGACCAGCGGAAAAACATAATAAGAGCACGAGCCACGAGTAGACTGAGGAGCATTTTTCTGGCTGACAAAAGGATTAAATCAGTAGACAGGGGCCAGATTAGCCTACCGACGCAGCAGTGGATTCGGTGATTTGGGATGTCCATGAATTGGCCAATGACAGCGAGCCATCGTCAGCATGCCACGTCACCCCTGCTGTCGCCTTGGTGGACGGCGACACTTGTCTGCACATGGGAGTGGACGAGAGGTGGTGAAAAAGACAAAAGCGTCTTTAAAGCCCCAAAGCCGGGAGTGGGACGGGTGAGACAAGCAGGATTAGTATGCCCAGTTCACAATCGATTATCGAGACATTCCGAAATCCCTGAATGAGTGCAATACCTGGCAGTAGAGAGAGTGAGCTGGGTGCGGATCCCCACCACGGCCACCACCTCGCCTGTCTGATACGCGTCTATCTGCCTGCGAAACACCGCCACCATGGACCCCCCCCCCTCTGCCGCTCCCCCTGCCACGCGCCTCATGAGCAAGCAAGCAACCACAAGCGCAGCTTACCTGGCAGTAGAGAGAGTGAGCTGGGTGCGGATCCCCACCACGGCCACCACCTCGCATGTCTGGTACGCGTCCATCTGCCGGCGAAACACTGCCACCATGGACCCTCCCCCCGCCACGCGCCTCATAAGCATGGAGCCCCCAAGAACCAGCGTGTCTTTATCTGATAGCGCCGCCTGCACCTGCGTCGACATCTGCATGCTGGGATGCAGAAAGTAGGAGCAGGGGTTGGGGATGGATGGGGGGGGACGGGGTGGCATATGGAGTGGTGGGTTATGAAGAAGCGTCTCATAAGCATGGAGCCCCCCAGCACGAGGGTGTCTTTATCTGATAGCGCCGCCTGCACCTGTGTTGACATCTGCATGCTGGGAAGAGGGAAAAAGGTGAGGGTGTGATGTTAGGGCGGGTGGGGGGCACAAGGAACAAAGACAGAGAGCAGCACGGAGGAGTGCTGAGTGCGAATAGCCGCCTTGAGCTCTACCTCCTTCTCAGCGCCCGCTCCAACTCCTCCCGTTCAACCAATCCTCCCACTCGTTTCACATTGACTTTTTAATTGACTTAAAAGTCAACAAGAGTCAATGAGTCGACTCAAAAGTCAACCCTCCTCCTCCTCTGCGCCCTCCCCCACTCCTCCCATTCAACCAATCCTCCCACTCATTCCACTCAATCCACTCCTCCCACTGCAACTACTCGTTCCACTCCTCCCAATGCTCCCGCAAACCGTACCCAGCGCTCGAATCCCGAAGCGATGGCATCAGCCGCAGTGACAGAGACCAGCATGGAGGAGGAGTGCTGAGTGCGCAAAGCCGTCTTCAGCTCCTCCCTCCTCCTGCCACTCCTCGCCCCCCTTATTCCAATCCTCCCACTCTCTTACCACTCCATCCTACGTTAGAAACCCCCCCAGTCCCCCAATCCTTACCCAGTGATTCTAGGAAAGCGCTCAAATCCTGAAGCAATAGCATCTGCAGCGGTGACAGAGAGAAGCATGGAGGAGGAGTGCTGAGTGCGCATAGCCGCCTTGAGCTCCTCTCTCCTCCTCTGCGCCCGCTCCCACTCCTCTCGTATCTCCTGCCTCGTGCGCAGGTGAGGGCCCAACTCCATGCCTGACAGCACGCCCTCTATGCCGTACAGATCGTACACCTGTAGAGGAGCGGTGGAGAGTGGTGGAGAGCGGTAAGGAGAGGTGCGGAGAGATTGGGGTGGTGGGGAATGGTGAGACCTTGCAACCTCAACACTTATTCTCTCTGTTGTTGTCACAGCTCCTTCTTTCTTGGCCAATTCAAAAAGCACCTCGTACGCAAATTTGAGTTGCAAGACTTCTCAAAACCCTCAAGCGCAGGTAACCACCCGTTATTGTCACACTCACATACCATCACGACCTTCGCACACACCTGTCGCTTGGCTGGGTCAGAAAGCACCTCGTACGCGGATCGAATCCGCTGAAAGTGGTCCTTTGCGACATCTTGCATCTGTAACAAGCAGCAAAAACGAATAAACTCGACCATAAGCCTTTGCGGAAGAATAAAGAAATGAGAGGCGAGGTGGGTGCGGGAACGTGGCTAAAATCATCTACAGCTCCAAAAGCGAAGAACCGCCATTAGGTGGGTACTACTTTCGTGCTAACGGTGCTGAATTGTAAAGCGGTTGAAATTGAGTCGTCACCGACTGACCTGCGGGAAGGGATACTTGTCAGGGTGGTACACTGACGCGAGCTGCCGATACGCGCGTTTCAGATCATCGTCTGAAGCATCGCGCGAGACGTGCAATAGCGCGTACAGATCGGTGTGTGGATCCGTGCTGCCTGATCGTGCGCTGCTTCCGTCTCTAAAGGGGGGAGGATCGTCGTATCCCGCCATCGCTACCACTCCAGTGGATCAGGCGAAACCACAGTACCTCCGGACCTTATTATATCAAGGATTTCTTGAAAATACTAAAAACGCTTGAGAAAAACCGAGCATCCAGAGATACCCAAGTGGCTTTCTTTAAAATTCAGGCTGGCCGATCACCAAAAGCCAGAGCCATGACGAACAGCTAGCAAAACCACAGGTGGAGCACACGCAACCACGAAAATGGAATCTGCTTCCGTAGTATGCTTGGATAGGCAGGAGCTTGGAGGAGTTGGGCTGTAGGCGTGTGAATCGAAAAGAACCGCGCTAAAATCCACGGAATCGCCTTCAGCCAAACCAATCCCAAGGCGAACAAACGTTTTTTGAGTCAACAAACGTTTTGCCAGTTCCAACCAGGTCTGAAGTTAGGCTTTTCGCCAACTCGGACGTTTTGGCTCCCTTCAAAAAACGCCCTGAAAACGCAGGGTCGGCCTAAAAACCGCTCGTAAAAATCAGGGCTGGTCTAAAAATTCCTCGTTTACGTAATTCGATAGTTCCGCCGCAATGGGGACTTCTTTCTGACAAAAGCTGATGCTGAAACACTCTGTTGGTGCACTTGTGCTGCTTTCGTGTGGAACTCTGCTCACAGAGAGCGATGGAGCATAGGTGCCTCCGATTTGGGATGATATACCTCAGCGGACGAAAAATGCCGCCCAATTTCGCGGTTCAAAAGGGACAAGGCCCCCCCTCGGGATTGACGACCTCCCGACGACCTCCGAGCTCCCAGACGGGCCCAAATGGCGTCCCAGGGGCCTCGGGAGCCCTCGGGATTGTCGACAATCCGACGACACCCGTTTGCGCTGGGAGATTCCTGAGAAGGAAATCTCAGCGGACAAAATTCGCCACGTCGAGCCGCGGATGCCTCCACGCGGACCAATAGGGAGGTGCGAGACCCGCCCCACCGATTACAAGGCTGCCACGACGTGGGCGTCGTGGCCACGCGTCGCTCTAGCGGTGCAAACCCACGCGGCGCAAATCGGACCGTCCACATCTTCACTGTCTTGTGGCATCGCGGGTTGCCAGGGAAGTCGGTGTCGACCAGATCCATGTCTGCTTGCCTTAATTTCTTCACTGGGGCGCCAATGGCGGTCGCAAGCCGCGTAACGCACGCCCATTCCGACGTGGAATGGCACTGGCTTACGCCCCTTCCGTGCGGCGCGGCGCCCAACTAGCCATGCCTGGCACGTGCCACGTCGGACAGTGCGCCGCCTTTACGAGAACACATGCACGGCGGCGGATGCATTGGGGTGTGCGTGACGCGCGGCAGCATCGTAGTCGCTCAGGACCATACCCGTCCGTTGCCCCGCGAGCCTGCTCATTCGCTTGTCCGTTCCTGCGTTCCTTCCTGCTCTCTCGTTCCCTTGGAATTTTCAGCTGCCAGTCTGTCATCGCGCCTGTAGGTTGCTCGACAGCCGATTGTTCGTCCAAGTCGGCACAGGTTCCACGTCGCGAGTCGACGTAGCAAGTCGGCGACGCATGGCCAGAGGTCGCCCGAGGGCCCAACAGCCGCAACCCATCCCACCCCCCGCCGACTCGGTAGACGCCGACATCAAGGCGCAGCTGGAACAGCTTGAACTCGAAGCCGAGCTAGACGCGCTTGAGCGAGAATTCGAAGAAGACGAAGACCGCCTGACGCTTCGCGCGTTCGCCGCACCCGTCACACAGTACCGTCTCTGGTTTACCACCCCCCGCGATCTCGAGGTCGACGCCGAGATAGACGTTATTGAGGGACATCTCGAGGACGACCGCCGCGCAACTGTTCGGGCGTACACCGCACCCGTGACTCAGTACCGGCAGTGGTTTAACAACCTCCCCAACGCACACGGACGACGGTAGAGCAGCAGACGTGTACCGACATGGCCGACGTCGACATGTCCGACGCTAGGCCATCCACCGACCAGGGTCCGACGACCACCGACCGCAGTCCGACATCCACCGACCACAGTCCGACACCTACCGACGAAGACAACCTGCAGTTACTCTACGATCTGGACAAGCTGACGCAGATCCCAGAAGGGGTGTTCACCACGGACGTTCCGCCACCGCCGATAGGGAAGTTCAACAAGAAGAAAAAACAGACTCCTACGCAAAATGGTCGGCCAGGTACCTCGTCGGCACCGGCCGCCCCTGGAAACCAGGTCGATGACGAGGACGCGGAGGAGGAGGGGGGGGAGGAGGAGGAGGAGGAGGAGGAGGAGGAGGAGGAGGAGGAGGAGGAGGAGGAGGAGGAGGAGGAGGAGGAGGAGGAGGAGGAGGAGGAGGAGGAGGAAAGCGATGACGAAAACGACGACCGTCCACCTCGTAGCTCTAATCCGCGCACCTTGGACGAACGACTCAGGCGGGAACTGCAATTCATCGACATACTGCTCGACCAGGACGAGGACGAGGACCAGGAGAACTTGGCGGTGCCGCGCGAACAGTGGAGAGCGGCAGACTTCGTCGAGGAGGACATGGTTTACGCGTGCGTAGACGTGCTCGTCATGGACGCTCTTCGCCACCTGCAAACCGTGGAGAGGAACAGCACGCTGAGGCAGTACACCTCGTGGATCTATCACTACAAGAGGTGGGCGGCGAAGATGTTGAAGCAAATTCGCAACAAGCTTCCGCAGGAGTACAGGCTTAAGCACGTCGACGAGATAGGGCACTACATCCGGGAGAACAAGAAGAAAAACTGGGACCAAGAGGCCGATGTCCCCCGGTCTCACGTGTGGCTGCACGGCCCTAGGGTCACCAAGGACCGGCTTCGCGCATACGTGAAGTACATGATTCGGGAGTTGAACCTCGATGCCGAGTCCGGCAAGGGGGCCGACAACGCCACAGGAACACAGCCGGTGCAGTCGACAACGGTACACACGCTCCTCGGGCGCATAAAGGCATGCCAGATGGCGGCGAGAGTGGAGGCGACGCTCTTCCGGGAGACGGAACTGAGCATCATGAGGGAGATATCGGTGGTCAGGTCGGAGGTGCGGTACATGATCCGCACCAAGAACGAGCGGGACATCAAGTGAGTTTATGTTTTAACCTACGTCGACCACTCTCCTGCTGTCATGATCTTTGTCGACGCCGCCCTAAATACCCCTTGCCCATGGCATTGTTGGCAGGAACTGCGCCGATCGCCGTCGCGGAACCATCGGCGATACCTACACCGCCGAACAGTTCCGCCAGATCATGTTCAGGGTGCTGCCGGCGTGGGCGGCCAAGGCGTGGAACCCGCGGGGTACGGGTCCTTCGCAGACGCTGTGGAGGTTTCTTCTCTTGAAGGTGCTCACGCTACTCTCCCACCACTCTCTCCTGCGCGGTGCAAGCATCCGCGAGATCACTCTCCCCGACATCTTCTTGTACCGACTGGCGAGCACCTCCTCGATCAACCCGGAGAACCAGCCGGTCGTCATGGTCATCGGAGCGCGGAACTCGAAGACGTCCAAGGATGCTCGTCTGCAGCAGAGCTACGCCGCGCGGCACCTCGAAGCGGAGTTGTGCGCCGTCGGCGAGACGGGCCTGTGGTTGCACTTCGTCCTCGATCAGATCGGTCAGTTTCACGGCGTCCGCCTCATTCCGCCGGTCGACACCAGCACACGCGCTAGCTGGTACAAGAAACACCTGTTCTTCGCCAAAAACGACACCGACCAGGGTGAGCTCTCTGCGGCAACCCACCAACGCTGGACGCGGCAGTTGTGGGACACCAACAAGGTGTTCTGCAAGAGGAACGTGCACGCCGCTCGAGCGGGCGGGGCCCAGGAGCTGGCTATCGACGGCACGCCGCGCGCCGAGATCGCGGAGCTTGGACACTGGGCTCTCGACAAGATGACGCGAGCGTACATCACCGCCATTCCGGTGGGGGTGGTGATGAAGAAGGCCGGGTACTCGGGGTACAAGCAGGACTACTTCTTGGGTCGGAGCAGGGTGCCGCCCTCCGAGAAGCTCCTGAAGCTCCTCGCCGAGCACATATTCCCCGGCGTCGACGACATGCTGAAGGAGGTATGTTAGTCGACGCCCTCGTAGCTTGCCGCCGAGTCGTGTTGCCGACCTTTTCTGAGCTCCCCGTACCCGTGACAAATGGCAGGCGGAAGGGAAGGCTGTCGAGGGGTCAGACGCCGACAAAGCCGCGGTGCACTTCTGGCGCACTCTCCTGATGCTGCGCCGCATCGTCGCCGAGGACCTAGCGGTGAAGCTAGTCCGCACACCATGGCACCCGTACGTCCAAGGTTCCAAGCTCTGCCGGATCCCCCTCTTCCAGCACTGGGCGAAACGGGTGGAGAGCGTCGACACCGAGACGATCAACAAGCGTCGCGACCCGACCCAAATACAGCCAGAGGTAAGTCGACGATACTGTCGCCGACGTGCAGTAGGGAGTGTAAACCAAACCACCGCGGCCCTCACGTTTTTCTCCTCCTACTGCTGCAGGAAATCTCGGTGCGCATGGACACCGAGTACTACAACATGTCCCTCATGGCCCAGATGCAGAAGGAGAAAGAGCGCGCCGCGAACGAGAAGATTGATCTCCTAGAGGAGATCGAGAAGCGCGACGACGCCATCGCTGGGCTCACCGCCGAGCTAGCCCGTGTCACCGAGGCACTCCGCTTGTCGGAAGCACGGAGAGTGCCGGTGGCCCCGCCGTCGGCTCCCGCGCAGACTCCCAGCGATGGTGGATCGGCGGAGTCGGCCAGCACGGGGGCTGGAGCCAAGAAAGGGGATGACAAACCCCCGCCCCCCCCACAGACGGACGAGGAGGCCAGTTACGAGCTCAACGTGGTGCAACCGTGGCGGGAGGCAAAGACTGTGAGGGACGCTTGGCGCCTATGGAATTCCGCCACCGCCAATGACACCCGTCGCCTTTGCGACAGGGTCGCCGAGAAGGGATTCGTCGCCCGCCACACCCTCCTCACAGGAAAGGGCGCGACGCAGGGTGGGCTCGACACGAAAGTGCGACGCATGATGAGGGCCATGGATGCGGTGCGCCAGCTACGCGCGAGCGACGGCGACGCCGACACCGAGGCCGTGGTCGACGCACTGAACAGGATCGCGGCACCGGGCATTGGGACCTTCTGTGACGCCCTCACGGTGCTCAACCCGAAAACGGAACCGATGAAGTCGAAAGAGCCTGGCATGGGAGTCAAGGGGCTGGGCCCCAAGGTTGTCTCTAAGCTTCGCCTCGCCTGTGGGCTTGTCGCGCTCAATCTGAAGCCGGCCGAATGGCTCGAAGCCCTCTTTCCAGACACCTGGGAGGAGCAGATGCCGAAGACCAAGGCCGACCTGGCGAAGCCGACCGCACCTGCCAAGTCGACAGCACCGGCCAAGCCGACCGCACCCGTGCAGCGTCCTCCGACCAAGCGCAAGAAGACGGCATGAAGTCCCTCATGGGATATGCGTCTGCGTAGATTTTGGCAGACTTCAACCCCCCCCCCCCCCCCCCCCCCCCCCCCCGCCCCATCCGACTGATGTTTCTGGTAGTTTGTAAACATCCCACATCAATGTCCATGCGAACCGATGTTGCCGATGTTGGTTGTTTGTCGCCCAGTACAGTAGGTGTGGCTAAAAATCACTGTCGACGCCGACAACCATGTTTCTGCACTGCTTATCGCCGACGTATCATGTGCATATCATGTCGACATATGCGCCGACTTGGCTCATCGGGTGATATTCGGCTAGCATGGTTATACAGGGACACAGAGTTGTTAGCCCAATATTGAAACGAACAGCACTTGAACAAAAAAAGGCCACATTTAACAAATCTACGCCAAAATCGGCGCCGTCCATACCAATATAGTACACACCCTAGCAACCTAGCAAACATCATTCCGCCGACTACGCATCCGTACTACCTCTTCCTCTTGCTGCCCTTGGCCTGCTTGACCTTCTCCCCCTTCCTCCCCCTGTGATCCAAGTCGTACTCCATCTTCGCGTCACACGGCACATCGATGCCCTCCGCTTTGAGCTTGGGCCCGTCGAGGGGGCACATTCCCCAGAACGCCAAGGTCTCGACCGTCGCTCTTGCGATCATGTCGGCCTCGTCTTCCTCAATGCCCGCCTCGAAGGCCCTGGCCACTCCATAGCGCTGCAGCTCTGGCGCGACGTTATGTGCAACCTCCCCCGCGGGAGCCTGCCGAGTGCGTGCGTGTTCGATAACCACGTGCATGACCATCGCGAAGTGCTCGCCCCTCTCCTTCCCCGCACCTGCCAGAATCGCGGCCGCCTTACCTTCGCCCACAGCACCGAGCACCGACGCCGGCGTCGACATGTAGCACCAGAGGGCGCATGCAGAGGCCGCTAACGCCTGGGCCCCCATCTGCACCTTCTCGTCCGCCTTCCTGTCCGCGCCTTCCATATCCGTCGTCTCTCCCGCGGTCGCCTCCGCGCTCCCGTCGACCTTCCCATACGCGACTCTCGCCGCGACCTTTCCATACGCCGCGCACATCGACACGCGATTCACCATCGCCGACATGTTTGCATTTGTCTCCGCCCTGCCTTCCTCCGTGTCCTCGATGATGGGGAACCACATCGCCGGCCAGAGCACGCCATGAAGCGCATCACCCGAACCTGCGTACCCACGGAACCTGCCGAGTATGTCGTCGAACCTGCCGAGCGAACACGTACACATAGAATTAATGACACCGACTTGGTCGTCAAAACACGGCATGTCGGTAACCGACTTACCTTGCTCTCGGATGGCACAAGCCTCTGGCCCACATCACCGTCCACATCCCGGTCGGCAGGATTTTGACCTCCTCCCACACCGCCTTCCATTCATCCAACTCTCCCGGCTTCAAGGCGGTGAGCTCCTTCATGAGCACCTTGCTCACGTAGCCGTCGTAGACGGAGTACGCAATCGCGTGCTCGTAGGCCAGCTCCATCTTGTCGCGGGACTTGCCGATGTACCGATTCTGGTTCTTGAACTTCATCTCGCCCACCCACCCCTGCCCGTCGCCAGACCTGTCTCGGCGGATGCCATGACCCCGGCGTCCATGCTCTTCCCCTCCCCCACCTCCTCCTCCTCCTCCTCCTCCTTCTCCTCCTCCTCCTTCTTCTTTGCCGACTTACCCTTGCCGCCCGTCTTCCGTGCCGGCTTCTTCCCTTTGTCTTCCGCCATCTCCTTCCCCGCCGACACCGCCTTCCCTTTCCCGGTGTCGTCCTTACCCTTCCGTCCCGCATTTTCCTCGGCGACAACACCCGTTGCGGCCGTCGGCTCCGCCGAACCCCCTGTGTTGGTCGCCGACGGCTCCGCATGCGCCGTGTCCACGATGGCCAGTGCCGGGGCATGCTCGGGCCGTTTTGCTGCCTCAAACTGGGCCAGGACGGATTCGAGGGCGGCATGCCTGTCGGCGCGGCCGCCGGTGGCTAGCGCTGCACTGACTCCCCTCTCCGCCGCCAGATCGACCACAGCTGCTCCTGGGGAGGATGCGGTCGCATTTACAGCCGTCGGCGTCGCGCTTGTGCCGGGTTCCGGCTGAGTGACTGGTGGAGCTGCCGCTTTGCGTGCGCCTATATGGGCGCGAAGAAACGCGGACTTGGGGTCCGCAGGCGGTGGGGCGGCGACCGGCCGCGCGGCAGATTGGGCATCGGACGGTTTGCCGGCAACGTGCGGAGTGACGGAGCGACGTGATATTTCTGCGAGGCCGGCGTCGACCACATGATGCTGCTGCGCGCCCGGGCGGTGGGACTCCATGCGGTGGAGCAACACCCTAAGCGCGTTACTCCCGGGTGGCCCCTGTGCCGAAGCAGCCTTCGCGTCGACCTTGGCGGCAGTAGGGGCTGCTGGAGCTGGAGGGGCCGCACGGGCCTCCCCATGCTTCCCCGCACCTGTCTGGCCGGCGGGCCCGGTGGTTGCCGCAGGCGGGTTACATGGTGTCGACTTGGTGGTTCCGGCGACCGTACCAGAAGCAGCCTTCGACTTGGTGCTTCCGGCGACCGTAGCAGAAGCAGCCTTCGACTTGCCGGTTCCGGGGACTGAAGCAGAGGCAGCCTTCGCCGTGCCGGTTCCGGCGACCGTAGCAGACGCAGACATCGCCTTGCCCTTGGCCGGCACCGCGTCAGACGGCCCCTGGGTGGTTCCGAAGCCTCCGACTTTCGCCGCCTGGGCAGTGGGGGCCGCGTCCTTCCCACCGCTCGCCTGAGGATGGGTCTGCTCGGCGTCCAAAGGCGGGCCAGGCGGTGCATCGACGTTAGCCGCGATCCCGTCGGCAGGTCTCCCGTCCGCCCCCCCGCTTCCGCTTCCCTTGCTGGTCGACCCTCCCCTCACCTTCCACCCCTTCGCCTTCAGCATGTCGACCACGCTCCGCGCAGGAGGCTTCGTGACGCGGCTCCCGTCCGATCCCTTGCTCCGCTTCGAGCTCTCCTTGTCGTCACCGTCGCCCGACCTCTTCAGGCCTTGCTTGTCGGCCGCCCTCTGTTGCGCGGCGTCGGCGTCATTGGCCGAAGGCGACGAACCACGTCGACCAGGCGCCACCGTGCCGATCATCTCGGTCAACATCTTCATCCCGGACGCAACGAACGACTGCTCGGTGGCCTCCGTCACCGTCTTCATGATGTCGGCCTTGAACGACTTCAAGAGCTCTTCCGGGAGGGCGGGCGGCGTGGGCTGAGGCGGTGGCGGCGGCTGCACGGGGAGCCTGCCGGTCACAGCTGTGGCGATGTTGACAGCTGCGGCGGACAACTGGCTCGTGATGTGCTCCCGCAAATCCTCCTGCGCATCGCCCACCACCTTGTCGACGTGGTCGGCCAAGGTGGTGACCGCTAAGGCGCGTTGATACGCCACATTTCCCTCCGGGTTGTCGAAGTCCTCCAGCCACGCCGACGCCTGTTCCGCGAAGGTCTTCATCGTCTTCCACGCCTCGTCGAAGCTGCCGGTGATGTTGCCCGTGATGGTCTGCGACATGGCCTCCGCCGCGTTTCGCAGCTGTTCCGCCGCATACTTCTCGGTGTCGTCGACCTGCTCGGCCAACTCCTTCAGGTGGTCGACGAGTCCACGTAGCCCAACAAAAAACGCGTCCAGCCGAGCCCGTTCCGCATCGAGCAAACCCTGCAGCCGAGCGTTCTCCGCCCTCAACAGCAAGTTCTCCCGTCGCAGCTCCTCGACGTCGTCCGTTGCAGGGCCCTGCCGACCAGATGCGTCCCCCGTCTCCTGCACGCCCGCGATGTTCGCACCTTCGCCGGCGTCGACCGACACCTTCGCACCTTCGCATGCCGCCTCCTCCTGGCCCGTTTCCGTCGTTGCCTCCACGCCGACCTCATCCTTTTCCTTCCCCTCACCTGCCGACCCCGTAGCATTACCCGCATCGCCATCCTCCGCTTCCTCGTTCTTCTCGTCCGCCGACCCCACCGCCTCAACCGTGCCGTCTGCGTACTCCAGCTCGTACTCCACCTCCTCCTCCACCCCTTCCTCGTGCGCCGCCTCGTCCTTCCCAGCCACCACCTCCACCACCTCATCGTTCTCGTCCTTGCCCTCGTCATCCTCCTCGTCCTCATTCTCCTTCTCCCCTTCGTCCTCCTCCTCCCCCTCCGACTCCGACTCTGAGCCAGAGTCCGTCAACTCCTCTTCCTTCCTGCCTGCGCCTGCCGCATCGTCGCCTAGTCCTCCACCGGTTCCTCCTTCCGCGGACACCGGCAAGTCCTCCTGGAGCTGGGCGGCAGCTGCTGCTTGGGGCGCCGTCTGACTTTCCGCGCCGTCGTCATCAATCGCACCCTCGGCGGGTCCGTCGGCGCCTGAAGTCGGCGCCGCTATCCGGTTTTCGGCGACACGATGGCAGATGTAATCGACCATGCTATCACGGAGCGACCTCAAACCCGCGACCTTGATGTTCTCGATGCTCACAGCGCTCCGAGCCTTGTCGCCCGTCAGCAGGCCGATCTGCTTGGCCACCCACCCGAACGACGTCGCGGCAAGCATGCCGGTGCCGACATGCCCGTCCGACACTGTGCCCGGCACTTTCTGCATACAGCACAGGCAAGCGCGGCACAATATGAGCGGTGCACACAGATACGCGCAGACCGTAGCGGAGCCTAAACGTGCAACTCACGTCGCGGATAGGGTCGTCGCAGTCTGCAAGCCTTTCCTCCACCACTGCTTGTGATGGAGGCGCCCCGTCCCACTTCCTACCGGGACGCCCCAGCTCGGCCAGGGCAGCCGTGCGGAATAGCCTGGAGCAACGTAGTGGAGAGGAGGTCAGCATGAGATTCCCTGTGTCGGCGACTAACAAACTCGACAGCGACGACTATTCACAACTTACTTCAGGACGCGGACGGCCTCGTCGCGGTGCTTCCCCTTTCCGGTGTGCGGGTCGATGTGCCGGATCGATGTCCTGCAGACCTGTCCCTCAGCCTTCAGCACATCTCCTGGGTAGAGGATGGCTATGACGCTGCAGTGTGACCCTGGAAGCGGGCCGCCGCTGCACACGCAATAAACGACGGCGTCGACCACAGCATAAGGCGTTGATGCGGCCGACACTGAAAAACGATGACTGGACAACGGGGTAACAGCTCACGTCGATTTCAGCGGGATAGCAAAGCAAGAATGGTCGGCGGCTTTCATGGCCGATCGAAGCGGGCCGATCCCGAGCACCCACAACCGCAGGTCGTCCCGCCCAATGTCAAACCAAGCGAACCTGAGCGCACGAGTGAGCACGAGGGATGAGAACATGGCTGGTAAGCAAACGCTGCCATGTCGACGTGCTTCGTCAAACGCGCCCGCCGACGTACGTCGGAAGACAATCGGCGACAGTGCGCCCTACTAGGGTTGGTCGGCACCGACATCTACCCTATTCGACTACCGCGACTACCCGCGTCCCACCTGATGGCGAGTCCAAAGCATCTCTCGGTGAACTCTTTCTTTTGGTCGCGAAGGACGGCGTAGTCGTTCCACTCTAAGGTGAAGCTGAGACCGCGACCCATTTGCACCCGAAGGGGAAAGTCGGCCGATGTCGGCGCCGACTTATCGGCGGCGGAGATCGGCTCCATATCTGTCGACTAAGAAAAGAGGCGGACGGCTCTGGTAGGAGAGAGGGGAGGCGCAGAGCTGTCAATGTTTGAAAATCCGAAAGAGATGCCGAAAATGCGGAGCGAGGCCACCTTCCACAGAGAAAAGGAGGTGGTGCCCCCCCCCCCCCCCCAGGCCCGTTCAGCATCGCCCAAGGGTGCAGGGCCTGGCTCGGCAGTGCTCGGAGGGCGGATGCGCAAGTGGCACAGGTGGTCCGTCTCCGCCTTGGTAGAGCGTCGACTTCGCGTCCATTGGCCCAGGTCGGCGAGGGGACGCACGAATCCTCCTGCGCGCGGAGCGACGCTACAATCGACACGTGTCGATTTCGTAGCGGTTCGCGACGATAGAATGCATGCGATGGGAGAGAATTTATTTCCGCCTCGACAAAAATTTCGCATGCGCCCGATGCGAAGCCACGGGCGAACACGTGGCGCCACCGCTGCGAATCGCGAAATTGTCGAGTGTCCCGAGGGGGGCCCGTATTTTCGCACGGCCCTCGCCTGCCCGTCCGGGCAGGCCGCGATGGGTTACTAGGACCTCGCGGGCAGGCAGCACGTGTGGGCTGCCTTCGCGCGAGGGTAACTTTCCCTCGCGCGAGGGGTCGCCAGTTCGCCGACCCCACCCGGTAACGTGGGTCGCTGTTCAATTTCGGAGGGCGGCGGTCGTGCGCTCGGCCCAGCCCTGGGCCAGGCTGGCGGGCCCGCACGCGCGTCAGTCGCCCGCCTCGTCAGACCCGGCTCCGACGACCCCTCCTGTCGACACTGGCAAAACCGCTCCGACGACCGAATTGCGCTGAGGCTTTCGGCTAAGGAACAGAGGGGGGGGCGGGAGGGAAATGTTCACAAGTCCAGGAAGCGGGGGGAGAATTCTCCCTGTGTAGGGGAGGGGCCGAGGTTTGGGGGTGGTTAGAGCCTAAGAAAAAGGTCCGAGTCCTTCGAGGGATTATGACTCGTATTCACCAGAGTCAGTCCTGGAAGTGCTCGGATTCAGTCAGAGCTGGCCGAAAAACTCTCCTGTAAAAATCCGAGTTCGTCTGAAAACTACCTTGGATTTTCAGTCAAGAACGAGCATTTACCCTGATAGCCTGAGCCCTGGTTCCAACCTAAAATGCAGACTCCGTAACCAAGGTACATTTTTTGAGTCAATTAATAGGCGTTGCACAATCCACTGAGGAAGTGTTACCACACAGGAAGTACAGCTCTTTCTGTCAGGCATCGTCATTCGAGACACGCCCTGCAAGCAGTTCCCAATCTTCCCAAGCTCAACCGCTGACGGAAATCACAACGATCTAGATTGCAATGGAAACCACTGAAACGCAGTGAAACGTACAGCATCTCCAGCAGTGTTGATCCTGTCACAATTCCGTTCAATTCTGATATCCCCCACGCGAATTTAGGTTATTGCTTGACTTGAGCCTGGTTCCTGCACCTAGCCGTACGTTTTGGAAGGTTACAGGAATGTAAGGCCAAGTCTCGTATTCGTGACTTCGTTTAGCATTCACGTTAGAATCGTTGAAATACACCATTTCCGTGATTCTCTTTCGCTAATTGCACGCGATGACGTCCAGAGGTCTCCTCGTGTCCCTCACCGTGATTGTTACGCTGGTGGTTTATCTGGCGACGACGTCAGAGCTTGCGTCAGCGCAGTGCAGCCACGGCCATGACCATTCCCATGACCACGGGCATTCCGATCACCATGACCATGGTGGTCACATGCATGGTGCAGGCGCCGGTGGATCATGGTCGTCTTGGGAAGATCTAGGTGCGTCCAGAGAATAGCTTTATTGATTACACCTTAAATTTGCCTTCTGGAGCAGTAAATCTGCATTCCGGAAGATTGAATTTGCGTCTTTGGAGGGTAAACGAATCTCCTCCTGAAGCATTGAAATGCGTTGCGGAAGGAATTTATATGCATTCTGAAGCACTGAAATTGCATGCTCAAATTCGTAGGACTGATATTGCTTTCCAAAGCCACATGATCCTGAGGTGACTTTGAGTAACCACAGAAGTCCTTCTACAGCAACATTGATGTCGCATGAACATGAAAGGTTAATCTAATCCTTTAACACGCTTTTTCTCTTCCCCTTTTCTCCCCCAACACCATGTACCTCTCCTTCCTCACCCACAATTGTAAAGAGCATGCTGCAGATGAGCACACGCACATGCATGCACAAGCACACAGCGAGCATGATCATGCGCATGGGCATGGGCATGGGCATGGGCATGACCATGGGCATGGGCATGGGCATGACCATGGGCATGCACATGGGCATCAGCATCATCACCACCACCACCGTCACTCCCACGAAGCAGCGAAACTGAAAGGCTACGCACAAGCAGCGAGGAAAGAGAGGGAGCGAGCGTCAGGGTTCAGGCACCCAGAGGAGGAGGCGGAGGAGAGGGCTCTGCTGGAAGCAGAGGAGGAGTACGAAGAAGAGGAGGACTGGGAGGCGGGTGCACCTATCTGGAGCAGCATGGATCCGAAAATGCTAGGTGAGCCCAGCAAGGTTCAGGGTTCAGGCACCCAGAGGTGAGGCGCAGGCAGCAAGGAGAGAGAGGGAGCGAGGAACAAGAGGGAGCAAGGAACGAGAGGGAGCGAGCGTCAGGGTTCAGGTACCCGGAGGAGGAGGCGGAGGAGAGGGCACTGCTGGAAGCAGAGGAAGAGTGCGAAGAAGAGGAGGAATGGGAGGCGAATGCACCTATCTGGAGCAGCATGGATACGAAAATGCTAGGTGAACACATGAATTATTGTTCGCCAGCTGCTTTTGCAGCTGTTTCCAAATCCACCAGCGCTTCCTCTCCACTCGCTCACACTTACCAATTCTTTGTTGGCCCCCTCACCAACCACCCACCCCCCTTCCCGCCCCCCCAACCTGCGTGATTACCGTCGCCTTGTTGTGGTTGAATTCGATTGTGATCCTTTTCTTGCACTCAGATTGAGCTTTGAATCTGCTCAAACCCACCCCCATTCCCCCCCTTCCCAACACGCCTGCTTCACCGCTGCCTGCCTTTGCTTGACTGTGTTTGTGATCCCATTCTCGCACACCCCTTGCCCCGTCGGTCCTCTCGCAGCCATATGGCTGGAGGCAATGGGGAGCGCGCTCGTTGTCTCGCTCTGCTCCCTCATCTGCCTCACACTGCTGCCGCTCGTCTGCTGTAAGCACCTTCTGAATCAACTTCTGAATTTTGACTTTAGAAGTCACCATGGGATGGGGGGGAGTGCACTCATCGTCTCGCTCTGCTCCCTTATCTGCCTCACCTTCCTGCCGCCTGTCTGCTGTAAGACCCTTTCTTCTGTGCTAACCGTTTCCATTTTGCGGTGTTTGTTTGTTTGTTTGCACCCGCCCCTTCCCATCCCACACGTCCCCTGTGTGTGTGTCTCTCGCTGCAGACAAGGGCAAGCTGCCCCGGGCGCTGGTGGATGGATTGGCAGCATTTGGGGTGAGTGGTACCGAGTAGGTGAGAGTGAGCAAGTGAGTGAGCGCGTGTGAGTGAATGCTTGATTTCGTGAGCGAGTGAATGAGTAAGTCAGTGAGTGTGTCCGTCTCTCTGCAAACAAGGCAAGCTACCCCGGGCGCTGGTGGATGGGCTGGCTGCATTCGGGGTGAGTGATATTGAGTGGGTGAATGAGTGAATCAGTGAGTGAGTGAGTGAGTGAGTGGCGGCATGGGGTGAGTGAGAGAGTGACCTGTACCAGTAGCCGCGTGCCATTTCAGTGACCTTATCAATAACTTACTAGCGGTGCCTGCTTTGACTACCCTTCTGCCTCGTTGCCTGCAGGCTGGAGCAATGCTGGGAGATGCCTTCCTTCACCAGTTACCGCATGCTTTCGGTGAGCTTCTGCATTGCAGGCCTGTGGAATGTAATTTTCAATCGCTCCACTCCCTCCCCCTCTTTCATTCGCGCTCCTCCTTCCCTTCCTCCCTTCCCTCAGTTCCTTCCCTCAGTTCCTCCCCTCAGTTCCTCCCCTCAGTTCCTCCCCTCAGTTCCTCCCCTCAGTTCCTTCCCTCAGTTCCTCCCCTCAGTTCCTCCCCTCAGTTCCTTCCCTCAGTTCCTTCCCTCAGTTCCTTCCCTCACTTCCTCCCCTCACTTCCTTCCCTCACTTCCTCCCCTCAGTTCCTCCCCTCAGTTCCTCCCCTCAGTTCCTTCCCTCAGTTCCTCCCCTCAGTTCCTCCCCTCAGTTCCTCCCCTCAGTTCCTCCCCTCAGTTCCTCCCCTCAGTTCCTCCCCTCAGTTCCTCCCCTCAGTTCCTCCCCTCAGTTCCTTCCCTCAGTTCCTCCCCTCAGTTCCTCCCCTCAGTTCCTCCCCTCAGTTCCTCCCCTCAGTTCCTCCCCTCAGTTCCTACCCTCAGTTCCTCCCCTCAGTTCCTTCCCTCAGTTCCTTCCCTCAGTTCCTTCTCTCAGTTCCTCCCCTCGGTTCCTCCCTCCCTCAGTTCCTCCCTCAGTTCCTCCCTCAGTTCCTCCCTCAGTTCCTTCCCTCAGTTCCTCCCCTCAGTTCCTACCCTCAGTTGCTCCCCTCAGTTCCTCCCTCAGTTCCTCCCTCAGTTCCTCCCTCAGTTCCTCCCTCAGTTCCTCCCTCAGTTCCTCCCTCAGTTCCTCCCTCAGTTCCTCCCTCAGTTCCTCCCTCAGTTCCTCCCTCAGTTCCTCCCTCAGTTCCTCCCTCAGTTCCTCCCTCAGTTCCTCCCTCAGTTCCTTCCCTCAGTTCCTCCCCTCAGTTCGTTCCTGTGAGAAAGTGTAAGAACAACCGATAGTTTCATTAGGAAGGGCATGGGTTTACATAGTTGAGCTAGGATGTAGGAGCCATGCCAACATTATTGGCCCCCACCAATAAGTTGGGTTGAGGAGTTATTGGGGGGACCAATAATGTTGACCAAAAGTGGGTCAACATTATTGGGGGGGCCAATAATCTCCCAACCCAACCTTGGGGGCCCAATAATTGGGCCAAGGTTGGGTTCCAACCTCAAACTAGGGTAAACCCTAGTTGTGCACCCAAACTAAGTTTGGGTGCCTATCTCTAGTCAAAGCTTATATGATGATGCAGGTTACAATGAAGATGGTAATCTGACACAACCCCTTAACCTGCAGAAATCCATAGGCTTTGGAAGAGAGAACGCAACAACCCCTGAATCAGCCACCGCGGGGAGCAAGTCCCTGAAGATGCAGGAGCGCAGAGTGGTTAGAGCGATGGAGAGCCTTGGTGAAGAGGTCAGCGAGGTTGGCGGACGAGTCGATTTTACGAACAGTGATGTGACCATCTTGCACAAGATCGCGGACAAAGTAGTAGCGGAGTTCGATGTGTTTGGAGCGACCATGAAAGACGGCCTCCTTGGTGAGGTGGATGGTACTATCGTTGTCACACCACAGGGTGGGGCAGGGCTGTGGTGAGCCAAGGTCGGTGAGAAGATAGCTAAGCCAGCGTGCCTCTTGAGCCGCCATGGTGACTGCGTACAGCTCGGCTTCGCAGGAGGAGAGGGCGACGGAGGAGGAGCGAGTGGAGCGCCAGCTGATGAGGCCGCTCCCAAGGGAGAAGCCATATCCTTGAGAACTGCGATGGTCCGGCTGTGCATCCGCCCAAGATGAGTCACTGAAGCCTTGAAGAACAGGTGGGTCCACACCACCAAGCGTGAGGCCATAGTCCTTTGTGCCTTGGAGGTAGCGCAGAACACGCATGGCCGCCTTCCAGTGCTCCTCACCATGCCTGCCAGTGCCAACAAACCGCGCCAGGACACTGACGGGGTATGCAAGGTCGGGACGAGTGCAGACCATGGCGTACATCAGGGCCCCAACGAGTTCTGCATAGGGATGAGGGGAGGTGACAGGAGTGGCTGGAGGGGACAGCCGATGCCCGAATGCAAGTGGTGTGGGGATGGGTTTGGATTTGGACATGCCGAATCTCTCGAGCACCTTCCCGATGTAGAATGACTGAGAGAGGGTGATAGTCTTGGCAGTGAGGTCGCGGGTGATCTCCATGCCAAGGTAGTTGCGGACTTCCCCCAGATCTTTGCAGGCGAGACGTTGCTGCAGCTCATCCTTGACCTCCTGAAGTTCAGCAGCTGTCTCAGCTGCTAGCAGCATGTCGTCGACGTAGACGAGGATGAAGAAGGGTGACGGAGTTAAGCGAAGGAAGAGGCAAGAGGCAGCACGGGAGGGGCGAAAGCCAAGTGCGCGAAGGGTGGATGAGAGTTTGGCGTGCCATTCTCGAGGTGCTTGTTTGAGCCCGTAAACAGGGCGTAGTAGTTTCCAGACGGTGGCAGGGTCGTGAGGAGCGTGGAAGCCCTTGGGACGTTCCAAGAAGATGAGTTCGTGGAGGTCGCCTTGTAAGAAGGCCGTGGTGACATCCATGGAGTGGAGGAGCATCCCGCGTCTGCCAACGAAGTCCAGAAACACGCGAATGACCGGCGGAGTGGCGGTAGGTGAGTAGGTCTCGAAGAAGTCCGAGCCATAAGTCTGTGTAAAGCCTTTCGCCACATACCGAGCCTTGTAGACAGGAGCTTCACCAGGGAGTAGTTTTACTCGGAAGAGCCACCTGCCTTTGACCACGTTGTGCTTGGAGGGGCGAGGGACGTCGAGGAAAGAGCGGTTGTGGATGAAGGCGTTGCATTCCTTGACCATGGCCTCGATCCAGAGAGGTGCGTCAAGACATGCAATTGCTTGCTCGTAGGTGGTGGGTTCGTAGATGGTGGGGGTGTTGGAGAAAAGAAGGACCGTAGTACCAGCCATGGTGCGGACGACAGGGGCGATGGTGGGTGAGAGGAGGTGGAGGAAAAGGAGTTCATCATGAGAGTCTTCATAGAGGTCCGGAGAGAGAGGAGGAGGAAGAGGAGGCGGTGAAGATGCAAGACAGCTGCGCTGGAGGGTCAGGCTGGAGCGGGAACACGGCTGCACTGCTGCTCTGCTGCGCCGAGGGTCGGGGCGAGGAGACAGCTGCAATGCTGCTCTGCTGCGCTGAGTTGCCGTGAGGGGCAGGGAGACGGGAGCGCGGCTGGTGTGAGAACCTGAGGGGCTGGTGCGGGGGAGTGGGGAAGTGCTAGAGTGGTGGAAGAGTGGAATGGATGTGAGAGACTGGAGGGAGAGGTGATTGGACCGTGGGGGACCAAGGATGGGGACTGTGGAGCGGGTGTGAGGGTAGTGACGAAGGAGCAGAGGAGGGGACGAAAGTAAGGGCCGAGATGGTGGAGGGGAAGGGGGGGGAGGAGGAGATGGGGAGGGTGGAGGTTGGGAGAGGGGAGGGGGTGGGGGAGAGGGGAGGGGGTGGGGAGGGGATGGAGAGGGAGGGGGAGGGGGTGGGGAGGGAGGGGGGGGGTCAGCGGGGAGAGGGGGAGGGTCAGTGGGGGGAGAGGGAGTTACAGCGGAAGGGGAGGGTGGGGCAGCCGGGTCAAGGATGTCCCCTGAGGAGGTTGGGAGAGAAGGGGGAGGGGGTGGGGGTGCGGGTATGACCAGGGTGGGGGGAGGTTGAAGGGGAGGGGTGATGACAGTGTCAGTCCAGAGGAGAGGACGTATGGTGAGGGGGAGGGGGTTAGGGGCGGAGGGGGAGGGAGGTGTAGTACGGATTGGCTTCATCAAAAACCACATCCCGACTACGAATGAGACGACCTGAGGGGGGGTGGAGGAAGAGGTAGTCCGGGGAGGTGGGGTTATGACCAATGAAGATGCAAGGGAGGGTGCGGGAGGCAAGTTTCCCAGCTGCACGTGAACGGTCCTCAGGGTGTATGAGAACATACGCCTTGGAGCCCCACACGCGCAGGGGGGAGATGTCGGGTTTAGTGGAGGTCCAGAGTTCGGTGGGAGTAGTGGTGGGCCGTGAGGGATGGGGGTAGAGATTAGTGAGGATGGCGGCGTGGAGGATAGCATAACCCCACAGAGAAGGCGGGCAGGAGGCATGGACCATGAGGCATCGAGCGGTCTTGGTGACCTCCCGAACCCTGCTCTCCGCCACACCATTTTGCTGAGGGGAATGAGGAAGGGTGTAGGTGTGGATAATGCCATGGGTGGAGCAGTAGGAGGAAAGCATCCGGTTAAGGAACTCACCGCCGCCATCGGAATGGAAGCGAGAGACAGGGCGTTTGAAATGGGTGCGTGCTTGTTCAGCCCAGGCAATAATGGCAGCCGGGGCCTCCGCCTTCTTGCGAAGGAGAGAGACAGTGGAGTACCGACTGTGGTCATCTACCAGTATGAGCAGGTAGCGATGACCTTGCCTGGTGGGGGTGGGATTGGGGCCCCAGAGGTCCATGTGGACGAGATCAATGGGTTGGGGAGAGAAGGAGGGATGACTCTTGTGGGGGGCTTGCTTTAGTTTGCTTTCAACGCAAACTGAGCAGGGAGGGGAGGGCGACGGGGGGAGAGGGGGGAGGGTGAGGGGAAGTCCTTCAAGAAGTTGAGAGGAGACAGATTGACGAAGGGTGGCAAAGTTGGGATGACCCAAGCGATGGTGAAGGAGGACGACGGGATGGGTAAGGTCACGACAGTGACAGGAGGGGGAGGAGGGAGGGGAGGGGGAGGAGGGAGGGGAGGGGGAGGAGGGAGGGGGAGGGGAGGCAAGAGGAGGGGGGGGAGGGAGGGGAGGGAAGGGGGGAAGAAGGGAGGGGAGGGGGGGGGGGGGAGAGGGGGAGGGGGGAAGGGAGGTAGGGGGAAGTAAGGTGGGAGTGGTGAGTTGGTGGATGGAGGGGCGAGGGGTGCGGTATGTGTACAGGTTTGTGTGTGGGCAGAGGGGAATACGACAGATGAAGCGACCAGTGATGGTGTGAAAGAGGTCGCAGTGAAGTGCATGTCCGGGGAAGATGGCGGTGACACCTAACCTTGGGAGGTCACGAAGTGCTACCAGATTGTTGCGTAGG